AGAGAGGTAGGTGTCTCCAGAGAGGTAGGTGTTTCGAGAGAGGTTGGAGTCTCTAAGGAAGTGGGTGTCTCCAGAGAAGTAGGAGTCTCAAGTGAAGTTGGTGTCTTGAGTGAAGTCGGTGTCTCCAGAGAGGTAGGAGTCTCCAGAGAGGTAGGTGTCTCCAGAGAGGTCGGTATCTCGAGAGAGGTCGGGCTAACAGGTGTCTCAACATCCGTTGACCCTTCTGTTGTCGATTCAGGGGTCGTCGTTGGGATGGCGCCCTCTTCAGTCGACCCTGGTGTCTCCGTGGGCTCGTTTTTCGGAGGAAGAAAGGTGATCTCCGTAATCAGTGGCCCGTCGCTACTGTTGTCCTCGTCTTCATCTGATGCACCATAGTCTGGCAGAAGTGAGGTGGGAAAGACGGCATCCGTCGTGATGTCTTCGAACTCGGGATGAGGCGTCTCAACAGCGGAGGTGACACTGCGATAGTAAGCTTCGATGTTGTACGGATCGTGATCAGTGAATACATACCCATTTCCAAGCTGAGCCTGTCGTGCCTTAATATTGCTGGGCGCTACATTGCGCACCCTAGGCGTGTTAGTCAGTCTTCATTAACCACCCCTTCGCAGGACGTACATTGAATCCGCCCATTTCAGAGGACCAGCCTCAACAGTCTGTACAGCCATCCATGTATGCGTTGCAGCTTGTATCCAGGAAGTCCACCGCATGTTGTCCAGTTGATCGTATATATTTCGTCCAAAGAGTGTAGTTGGTGTTCCTTTTCCACGTCGTGATGCTCAAAGGATGTCGTGACAGGGAGAGTATGGGAGAGTGGAATCAAAATAGCGTCCAAAAAGGAAATTATCAGCAATAAAGACGGCCTAAAGTCTCTTTTCCTTTTTCTTTTTGTGTCCGGGGAGTGGTACTCCGGTCTTGAGAGAATCTAAACGTTGCCAACAAAGACTCAACAATATCACAATGAGAGAGATGACTGGCGTCGTGTCGAAATGCCCAGAGCAGAGAGACAGAGGAGAGAGAGAGCGAGAGAGGAAAGACTCTAGGAAAGACAGTAGGAAACAAACACACAAGGAAAGAGAGGGAAGAATCCGTTTGATTCAAACACACATCAAAATGTCGCGAGTTTTGTCGGGACACTTTCATTCACGCAAGACGGACGGCCACGACAGGACATGATACTTTGTATCCCCCAGCAGCCGCCGACATCCAAGCGATCCGCGTCGCAGGGGAAATTACGCGACCACCTCCCGGGCCCTTCGATCCACGCGCTTCAAGGCCGTTGCGACGCCGGTAGTTGAATGGTCCTGGACGACGTTCGAGGTGCGAGGCCGGGAGAGCCAATCGATGCGGTCCCACACGTGTAGCCGCCGGCCACCAGACCATTTTGTCTGTTGTCCCCTACCTTACCCAGCTTTGTCTTCTTTTCCCTGCAGCAAAAATAGTAAGAGGTATTAGTACGATTCCGCTTCAGTCGCTGGCCTTGAATCAGGTTCAGGCGGGTTGTTGTTTACAGCCTGGTGAACTGTGCTATTTGTAGCGCAGCGTGAAGCGCGTAGCCGCCCGTCCCCAACGAGCACGCCCTCAGATGCAAAGGCCTGGAATTCCTCCTGGCTGCCAATGAGAAGGAGTCAGGAGCTTTCCACACAATTATACATTTGGTAGCCTCGCTGCTACATTTTGTGATTACATTTATGTGTACATTTATGTGACATGGCCCCTGCCTCCTTGCAACAAGAACGCCAACCCTGGGTATACGCATTGGACAGACCTCTATATCTCAGACCAGAACTTCCCTGGCTCTTCAGCGCGTCGCGCTAGTTCAGCATAGACCTTGCGTCGCTCCTCAATATCCCTGATAACACGCCGGTAGTTGGGTGGCACCTGTATGAAGGATGTCTTCTCGCCACGCTCCTGTCGGAGCCTCCAGTATCGCACCCATTTCAGCGTGTGGGCCAGGCCGACATAGCCCAAGTCGCCCTGGCGCTCGGGGAACAGCTCGACCTCCTCCTCGTCAGGCCAGCGCCAGATCAGTTCGTCCTGCTGCACCTGGGTGCGGATTCTCTCCACGACGTCCGGCGGCAGCATTGGTTCAGCGTAGCACCGAAAGACACAGAGCACACGATGGAAATCTGCCACCGCAGGGACTTGGTCGTACTTTAACAGGTCCTCTCGTAAGCCAGCCTGTTTCCACTGCGTCATGAGCCATGCCAAATATTTGGACATTTCGACAAATTCGCCTGTGAATGCTAGGGCAGACATGATAGTGTACGCAGACCCAGCCCCCACGGGATCCACGCGGGCTACCATGTGTTCAAGGGTGTAGGAGTCGGGCTTCTCCTGCAGCTTTTGGTTCTTCTCTTCTCTTGATCGTAGAGTTCGCACCATGCATTTGAGCATCTCAGCACACAATCTGAGCTCGGGAACCCAAGCGTCCGACTGGTCTTTCTTGGCCTCGGGCGAGTTTGTATCAGCCGTGCTCTCCCTGAATCCATCGTCGTACACGCGTCGCAATGTTTGGGGCTCACCCTCGCCAGCCTCCACGTGCATCTCGTCCATGTGAACCGCAAAGGCCCGGTTCATAGACTTGCGGAGACACTTGCAATACTGGCGCAGCGTGGGCAGGCGCAGGTGTGACATTTTCTCAATGTTGGACACAATGGTCCGGTATCCCTTGAGCTGGGCGGCGAGGGTTGTCCCCTCCCACCCGCCCAATGGGGATCGAGGCAGTCTGTTGCTGCTGGCCCTCAGGATGGCGCCCCACATGTACCAGCCCCAGAGTCTATCATGGCCGCTGACATTTCTCATGCGCGCCGAAGTGATGATGATGGCCCGCTTGAGCTGGCGGGCTGGTGTCTTGTCGAGGCTGGTCAAGCACTTGACGTAGGCTGCCACGAGAGACAGCGGGATCTTTCCAAGCTTGCGGCCCCATGCTCTCCTTTCCGTCTTGGTGAAGGTGCTTTTGGAAATCCCATACTCTGACAACGCGAGGTTGTGGCTGTCTCCACTATCCATCAGATATTGTCGAGCACGATGTTCAGTCCTGGCGTTTCGGACAAGGATTTCAAGGCATCCCAGGCGCGGCCGGATATCTGCTTCCCTCATATAGGCATACAGCGTATACGCGTCCGGGGGCTCCCGTAGCTGACGTTCGTATTCGGACAGGTTGGTATCCGAATGGGGCGGGAAATTGTAGGCTCGCTCTCCGGGCAATAAACTCGATGTGGCTCGCACATCTTGACTGAACAGCTTGGCGAACATGGCTGCATACACTGATGGAGTAGGCTGCTGGCCGGGCACAGGCGGATTATTGAAGCAAGCCCACGCTTCGGTTGCATTGCGGGTGGCACGAATCGACGCCGTCCATGTATCTGCCGGCCCGCCCTTGACAATTTCCTGCTTAATGGTCGGCGAGCCGTCTGGCGCCCTGCCGCCGATTGTGTCCCACGCCAAGTCCTCATCATTCATGGCAAAGCCGGCTTCCTGCTGTAACGTGCTGACCGTCACAGGTCGGGACCAATTATCTTCTGGTCTGATGGCCTCATCGATTCCATCACCAGGCAAAAGCCGCGGCGGCCACGTTTGTGCGTGCCGCAAGACGTTGTGGATGTCCCCAGCATTCTTGGGCATGGCAGCAAGGACTCTCCGAACGGCGCAGAAACCCTTGTAGTCGAACCTGAGGGGTTTCTCGAAAGCAGCTGAGGCCTCCAGAAGTTTACTCTGTGCTTTCCAGTAGAAACTCGGATCGATATGGTATGTCGGTGGCAGCCAGCGATTCAGGTTCGTGCTGAACACCTCAAGCGCACTGTTGTAGAACTTGCACTGCTGCGCAAATGCTCGATTCGATCGCCTCTCCCATTCTTCTATCCTCCTCAAGTATGCGATAATCATGTCCGCGATCTTAGGCAACAGTATCCCATCCAGCCGCACGGCGTGGCCAGCCAATCCTGTTGCAATGCGAAGGAATCGGTCAGGCGCAACTCGCTGAGCACCCGGCACTTCCATCAAGCTCATACAATGCTCGATCATTCGATTAAGAATTTCTGGGTCCGAGATCGTCACCATATCTGACAAGATAATGTTAATCAGCCACGGAGGCCGGTAGCCTTTCATTTCCAAGAACCGTTCACAGGATATGTCGCCCGTCTCGCCTTCCAACGTGTGGCAGATGTCATGCAGATCGTCGCGTGTGTACCCCATCGATCGCATTGTCCCAATGAGCGAACGGCGATCTTTCCGCTGTGGTAGAAGACGAAGAAGGTTGTCTGCAATGGAGCGGCGAGCGTCCTCGTGCTGCTTCCATCGCAGCATGTCGCGCCGAAGTTTCCATTGCAGGACAATGAAGGAGGACCGGGGCGTTCTCAGCTCGGCGAGCTTCTTCTGCCATTCGGTTCTCGTTTTTCTATCGCTGAGCCAGCATTTCCGGTAGAAAACGCCCGGACCGCCATGCGTGATCCAGCCTTCACTCTGCTCTCCGGGTGTCGAGTCCGTTGCATTCGATTCGTCATCGGCCCAAGATCTAAGACGAGATCCCCCTCTGGCAATGGACCGTTGTGCATCGGAAGCTAGAACACGGGATGCAAACTTGTCCACAAAGTCGTCACAGTTTGGGCTCGTCTTGGTCTCGGCGACCGTTGCGAGTGTCGTGGTAGGCTGATCGGGATGAAGTTCTGCTAGCGACGGAGGATGGGAGTGCGTTGCACTATTCGTGTCATAATCTCTCGTTGCTTGTGTGACTGGCTTCTGGTATTGAGGCGCATGGGAGATGGAACGTCGAAAGTCCTGGTCGAGGTCAGTCGAGATAGTCACAATGCAAGGCCCCAAACTGCAGGCTCGTCGTACTTTTCTGGACGCCGCGAGGGCCAACAGCATGCGCTGTCTTTGCCCCAGCTTCCATGGCGCCACCTGAAGCATGCCGCAACATTTCTTCACACTGCGTAAGTGGGCGACGAGATGGACCTAGAGAGACATTGGCTGTGCGCGCGAACCTGGGGGCTGGCCTTCAAAAAAGTTGGAGGATCGCGCGAAATGGGCGCTTACTCATCTACAGAGTTTATGCATCAAAGAAGTACAAGGCCACAGCCAATATCATCGTCAAGCCAAGGTATAATAATCAATGTCCAATTCGACATCAGCCGTTGAATTTGTATTCTTTTGAGGTCTCTGAACTCTAGAGCCATCACACCAAGAGATCCAGAACCCCTTGGTTATCGACGTTCGGTGCCAAATGGCGACTCAGGCTGACCCTGTCACCTCTCAGTCATTCGGCGACGCACCGATTTCCTTCGTTTTTGATTTGTCGGCTACTTCCTCGCCCTTTTCCTTGCGCTTCTGGACAACCTCCCAATTGTACACCCGAGCGATGGCCACTTCCATGGTCTATGTGATGTTAGCCAGAGATCAAATGCCAAGAACCTCCCACATGAAGCGTACCGTGATCTGCTCCCTCAAAAAGTCCAAGTCTTCCTCGCAGTTGGACAAGCTTGTCTTTGCCGTGGCAAGCTTGGTGCTCAGCAAGGCTTCGGCCTCGTCAATCGGGTATGAAAGCATCACATTGGCCTGGCTGCTGTCAGTATCAGGCTGGTCTGTGGCCGTCTTCACAACTTACGCCCAGCCAGATGTTCACCTCGTCGGTCGGTGGGATATTCGCCCGCGAATACAGGGTATCGTTGAGCTCAAAGGTGGTTTCGATCGGATCTGTCGCATCCTAGGACCTGTCAATCCGTGCTTCCACACACGCACACAAACGCCCCAGAGCCCACACACCTTTCTGAGTTTCAAAAACTGTACTGTCTCGAGCGTCTTCCGGATATCGGGGATCTTATCGCGCAGACCAGCCATCCTCCGTTGTAGGTTGACCTCCATAAACTGATATTTCCTGTTCGCGCTGTTACCACACGAGGTCGATGGTGGGTTCGGTCGGCAAGGCTTACGAGATCATCTCTTGGAAGCTCTTCAGGGTGGGCTCGACATCCTCGCGCGTGGCTACATAGTCCTCGACCTTGTCGACAAAGGGGGCGTATGGGATACCACGGGGGTTGCTAGGCGTCGCATCCGACTCCTTACTGTAGGCCGTCAGTCTTGTCTGGGTGCAAATAGCAACAGATGCCTCACCCTGTCTGGGCCTGTTTCCCCGCGCTCGCCATTCTGTTTGTGTCTGTGCCGGTCTGAGCACTGACTGGTGAATCCGGAAGCTCTTGTCTAGGCCGAGTATTTCTCTGTTCAGAATGGACTGTAACGTCAGCCAAATTGTATTTGACTAATCGGATGGCCCCGCGATTAGAGCTCCCAGTTGACAGTGGGTGAGTGGGTGGGGAGAGAACAAATCCCAAAAAGGGTTTCCTTTCGGTATAAGCCCCACGTCAACGTCACGGGGGTCGACCGTAAAGGAAACCTGCGAAGGGAAATAAAAGACGCCCGACTTTCCATGTCTCTGTTCCTCTTCGATTTCAAGAAAAATGACGTGTCTTCTCTCCTATCAATTGACAAAGTCCATACATGGATATACCTATAGAGTTTGACCATGGTATCTGGAGCGCCCGGTGCCCAAGCTCGATGGTATAAGATCAGTACGGGCATGGCTGAAACGATCGATCTTACAATAGGCCTTCGCGCCTCGCAACAAGAACTGATTGAATGATTGACACATTAAGGGGCAGTGAAATTAATATAATATGTGGCGCTATCATACATGCTTACCACCCAAACTCCAAACATTGTGATCCACCTAGTCGTCATTGTCATAATCACCGCAGGGCACACCTTGCAGTTGTCTTCGCGGAGCCGTCTAGTCGGCACGCTTGGAGTCGGCGTCGACAACTGCGGCAGGCTTGCCAGTAGCAGCCACAGGAGCAGGATCGTCATCGTCCCAGTCATCTGGCGCGTTCTCGTCCCAGTTGTCGACCTCTTCCTCCAATGATCGTGTCCGTGGCGCCGAGCTCACGACACCATTTTCGTGGCCTTCGCCGAGCTCGACGTCGCCCTCGTCATCACCGGGCACAGAATTATACGTCTTGCGTTGTCTTTTCCTCTCTAGCATGCGCTTGTGGTACAGAGCACACAGGCCCAGGGCTCCCAAACTGCCTACCACGTTTGCCAGGATATCGTACACGTCGAAATCGCGATCATTCGGAAGGAAGCTCTGCAAAAATTCTGAGCCCACGCCTAGGATCAATGTGCAGACGACCAGGGTCATGTGTAAGGTGCGCCGACGGGTCGTATCGACAATCCAGTAGAAGACCACCGTGAGGAGGAAGAAGGTGACGAAATGGAGGATTTTATCGTTTACATATTCGCCGAGTTGTAGCTTCGTGAGCCCGGCGTAGGCAGCGGCGAGGAGAAGGACGACGAAGACCACTGCTAATAGTTAATAGCTGACCATGGAGGTTGACTGATCTTCCTGGAGCTCACCTGCGAAAGGCAGACGTATGCGCATTGCTTCAAGTCCTAAGACGGTGACGCACGGGGGGTCGTAAGGCTTGGCGTCGGTATGAAACGGCAATGCGTCTCGGTTATTTGTGCTATGAGAACTTTGCACAATGATCGCAAACTGCAAATGAATTGTTCAAACGTCAGTAACTCCCCATCAAGCTGGCAGAATCGACGAAGCTGGCGTTTGGGGTGCAAAGATATTGTGGCCGAGTCCAGACTGGAAGCTCCAGGCTCCAGCCACGCAGTCCGGAAGCAGCAGCCACGCTTTTGACAGGGGTCATCCCGCCGGTGGAGGCTGTGGAAGCACCCGCATAGGACCATAGATGTGATGAAGTCATGGGTCTTGTTACCTAGGAGGCTTTGCTAACTGTGTTCACATTTCTCATCAAGGAGACTACTATTGCACGCACAGTGATTCCACAACTGGCGCTCTATGCCGAGGACAATCAGACCTCTGCTAACACTGGGTGTCCGTAACGCCGCGCTTGAATCGCTTGGACTCACAGACGCGGTCACGTGATGATACTGTCCGCCCCGGACATCGAAGTACCTTACGCTGCAAGCATATGAGGCATGTGTTGAGCGCGTGGAGATATCGACATAAATGGACATCACTTTGAGGCCAAACACAAGTAAAAGTACCCTGGAATAGTCGGGGCATATGAAAATCGTATTCGCTCTCGACCAGGATCCATCCAGAACGTGCGCGCTCCCTTGTTCCTCAGCTCCCCCAGAATCACGAACCCCCAAGTCCGGTCCCGCTTTAGGAAAGGCCCAGCCTGGGACTACTCCGACTTCACCCCATCGCAACACGGTCAAATCCTGCCATTGCGCGCCATCGGTACACCTTCAAATCGGCCATTTCCATCACGAAACTTGTTACACCATCCAGGCGGAGGCCACTCTTTCTACCCATGCCGCTCTGAGATATCCATTCGCCCTAGTTCCGGCCCGACGCGAGCGCATCGTTTTGCGCATGGCGACCGGTGCCGACCCGTCGCTTCTATCGCCAGGGCCCCATCATGTCTTTTATCAACGGCCGACATACGGGGTCAACTCCCACGTTACATCATTCGAACAGCAATAGGAGCTTGAACATTCCCGACGATGTTTCTGCGCGTTCCGCCAGGGAGCCTTCCGCCTTAGGGCCTGAGGCCCCGGCTGACGCCGATGATAACATATATCGTACTGTTTTCGCAGATCTGTATCGCAAAACGGAGGACAGGGTTGCCCTGCTGTTTGGCGATAGCGGCCATTACAATCGCGACGCGATCGATGCGCTTCGCCGTACCACTGCCAATGCTGAGACCGGCACTCCGACTGTGCTACCTCCGACCACCGACCACGAAGACCCGCAGGAACCGCCTCGCAAGAAGGCAAAACGCGACATTGACGAAGATGACTATGGTGATGATGATGAGGACGACGGGGAGGGGGATGGGCCGTCTGGCACTGCAGCAGCCAAGACGCGAACATCGGCGGCTGGCGCGCTATTGTCGCCTTCTAAATCAGGCAGCTCGCCAGTACAGTCTGTAAATTCGCCGGACAAGCAACTGGTCAAGGTCAAGATCGAGCCATCGACGCAGTCGCAAGAGAAGGATGCAGGCAACGATGCCATCAAGACGCTGGAAGAGGAACACATGGCCGCGGAGGAGGCAGCGCGGAGAAGTTTCCACACTATACTATATACTCTAGAGAATGACCGGGCGGCTATGCTTGAACAGCAACGATTGGAAGATTCGGAAAAGCAGCTTCAGGCAGAGATGGACCACAACACAAACCCGAATGCTACCGGCCAGGCCGCGACCAATCAGGGATCTCTGGCCAGCGCCAATCTTGGAGCGTCAAGCCTGACGCTCAAACACCTGATTGCGCGTATCGATATGAGGCGCGACGAGGTTGAGGCGTCCGATGCCGAGTTGCGAACGCTCATGAACGAGGTTAGGAAGAATCGCAGCAAGTGGGCTAGCGAGGAGAACGTGAACCAGGAGGAGCTGTATGAGGCGCTCGAGAAAGTCCTCACGGAACTCAAGGCCCATACTGAGTACTCGACGCCGTTTCTGACAAGGGTCAGTAAACGAGAAGCGCCCGACTACTATAACCGTTAGATTCCCATCCCGTCACACCGTTCAAGGCTGACGCAAACAGTGATCAAAAATCCTATGGATCTTGGTACCATGACCAAAAAGTTGAAGACACTCAGCTACAAGTCGAAGGACGAATTCGTCACGGATCTGAACCTTGTTTGGGACAACTGCTTGCGCTACAACCAAGACATGAACCACCCCCTTCGACGCATGGCTAACGGCATGCGCAAAGAAGCAGAGAAGCTCATTCCGCTGATTCCAGATCTCGTCATCCGGTCACGTGCAGAGGTAGAGGCCGAGGAACGTCGTAAACAGAACGGCGGCGAGGATGATGCCGCAGATGACTCGGACGACGAGCCGATAATGTCGTCTCGCGGTCGAGTTACCGGGACCAAAGGCGCCAGTGTGACCGCGAACAAATCGAGGAAAGCGCCCAGCGAGAAAAGGGAGGACACACCCGTGGTGGATCAGAAACCTGTGCTTCAAGTCAATGGGCTCCTGGGGAAGCACGGCCGTGAGAACTCCGAAGCTGTTGAGGGAAGCAATGGGTTTGGGACCCCCCCAATAGGGGGTTCCAACACTCCAGCTGGGATCCATGGCGCCTCTGGAGTGGCTAGCAATGCTGACGCGATGGATGTTGACGGGCCCAGCTTGAATGGGCTGGCCCTCGACTCGGCGTACAACGAGGCTGTAGAGCAGGCCTTTGAGGACGAGGAGTACAAGATCTGGAAGCAGACCACGAAGAAGGATCGTGCCCTCGCTGCAAAGGAACGTCATTTTTTGTTCAAGGACAATAAGTTGAATCTAGAGGCTACCGCCGCACTTCGAACCAAGGCGGCCATGCGCCGGTTCCTCAAGCACCAGCAAGAGGCAGCGACATTGGGCAGCAAGGATGCTGCGGCCGACGACGCCGGGGCCTCGACCAACCACACGAGCCAAAAACCTGCGGAGACACTGGCTGAAGGCATTGACGAGGAAGTAGAGAGAGTGATCCCGGACCACTATGACGCGCTCAGCAATATTCCCGACATCCAGGCCAACTTTCGGTGGATCGAGGACGGCGAGGGTCACGTCATCAACCAGCACGAGGATTTCTTGCGTCTGGCCCCAGAGGGCGCGTTTCGGGCACCGCAAAGTCGTCTGTCAAAGAAGATTGACGACAATATCCACCAGATCCAGGAGACGCGCAAGCTAGTGAACAAGATCTCGGTCATCAAGCAGATGCAGGTCCAAACTCAGGTAAGTCTGCCGGTTGAAGTGATTTTCGACCATGTTTGTAACACCACTAGGTCTTTTCAAATCAGTTTCCCAAGATCAACTCGGAAGGTTTCCACGAGCAAGACATTGAGCCGCACTTTATTGCGGACAATGGGCCCGTTATGGCAGCCGAGACCTGCCACGATGCTTTGCGTCGCTCTGTCACCAAGATTTTGTACCACACTGGCTTTGAAGAGACCCAGCCGTCGGCTGTGGACGCCTTCACCGATATCGTGGCAGACTACTTCCAGAAGCTTGTCAAGACATTCAGCACATATACTGAGGTGGAGCAGATGTCGGTTGTCACCAAGGACGGTACCAAAGTGGAGTCTAGATACACCCCGGAGGAGGCCGTCCTGCATACGCTGGATGAGAATGGGTACGATGTGGAGGCGCTTGACACTTACGTCAAGGACGACTTGGATCGACAATCAAGCAAACTCGCCACTATGCACGACAGGATGAAGAATCACCTGACAGATCTCCTCCGCCCTGCCTTGACAGGCGAGGAGGGCACTGACGGCGTCGGAGCCTTCAAAGACGGCAGTGACACGTTTGTCAGCGGCGATTTCGCCGATGATCTCGGAGAGGACTTTTTCGGTTTCAAGGCACTCGGGCTGGATGGGGAGCTGGGAGGCGCGCTGGCCGTGCCGTTCCACCTCCTTCAGACGCGCGTACGGAACCAGTACCAGATGCAGACACAGACCGCAGGTCCGGATGTGGCCGACCTCTTCGAACCCCCTGAGCCGCTCGAACCAATCACCAAGGGCAGTATCCAGGGACATATTGGGCTGGTCAAGAATTTCTTCTGGGCCAAGCTACACGCTAATGGCGATCAGCCACTGGTCGAGGACGAGGATCTTCCGGTCAAGCAAAGAAAACCACGTCCTCGTCTCGGTGCTACTGGCAAGATCGTCTCCGCTCAGAAGCGGCCGCCCAAGGAGCAGCTCGCACTGGCTAAGAAGAAGAAGAAGCTCGAGGCAGCCGCTGCGGAGGCGAAGCTCAACGCGTCACCCGGAAAGGCTGGCTCGGCCAGCAACACGCCCATGAAGAAGAAGTCCCTGCCCAACGGCACCATGCCGAACCCTGCCGTCCTAGCGCTAGCGCCCTCCATGGAGCGTTCCGACAGTATGCAAAGCCAAGGTGGTGCCAGTCAGACAGACAAGGACGAGGGCACAGGCATGATGAGCCCAGAGAGCATTGCCCAATAGGTTGCGGTGGCCACTCCGCCGGGACACTGTACATAACCGGCTCAAGCAGCGACAGTCTTCATTTGTATTCTACGCCTTCATTTTTGTACACCTCTACTGGTGGTTCCTTGTTTTCTCTGTCTTTCCCCCCCCCCCCCTCCCCCTCTCCCAACTTTGTTTACTCTCTTTATGTCACACACAGACAGGCGTTGGGGGGCACATGCAACGAATGCATCAGGCGGCGTCCTAAAAGCAGACTTTGGCGACGCATACACCATGATATATCAGTTTACGAGCGGCGACAGGCGCGGACAGGTCTTTTGAGGTGGTCATTTGGCTTTTGGAAAGGGACATTATTTGGTCTGGGGGCTTTTGTTGTCTCAGGAGAAGAGGGGGCGGCATAGGGAGACCCGTGTGCTGGGTCGAGGGGCCACGCGACGGGAGCCTGGGTATATATCAAGTACACTACCTTTCAAACACTGGTGGCTAGCGATTGGGGGATTAGAGCAGAGCCGTTGTAATGAACAGCCACTGGACGGAAGCGTTCCTCTAGAATGCATGTGTGTAAGTGATGAATCATGCATATGGTGTAATTTGGGTGTGATGTTGGGGGTGGCTAGAGCGAGCAGGGACTAACAAATAGCATTGCCACGATCAAGGCCCCATTACAATAGATAGGCTCATTGCTGTCACGCTCTTTCTATATCTAATATTTATTTTGTACACGCATGGACCCAACAATGACACAGTGAAGGAGGTAGTGTGGCTGTCATTCTTGTAGGGTAGTCTGACGGGTGCCCTGCAAGCCTAAATTGACGCATGCCAGTCTGGTCGTCAAGTCGAAGTCAAGCTCTTCGTTCACTTAGAATTATTACTCAATGCTCATGAGTAGCTCAATCATACATACTGCTACTGTGTACTAATGCTTCAAAAGCATGATTTGAAATAATTATATGGCCAATCCATGCTGCTGTTGAACCGCCGCAGACGCGGAGATATATGCCCTCAAGGTTCGACTGTCTGTTAGTGCCCCGCACCATCGCCACAGGGTCCTCGAGTCAGAGGCACGCAAAATTCGACCCCGCCACGGCCGATCTCGCTGCTGCACTAACAAACCTACCGAAAACGTGCAGGCTAGTTTGGTTGGGAGAGAGGACATGGAGCTAAGCTCCAGTCTGTCCTTCCTTCCTCCGTCCGGTTTTTTTCCTCTCCCGCCGCTTTCTTTATAACGCATTTCCTCTCTCCCTCTCTTCACCTCAAGGATCAATTCCGTTTTCCACCGATTCATACTCTTCCCACTACCGTCACAATGGGTTCCTCTACCAACGCTGACTATGCCCTGTCGGCTGCTCACAAGGAGATGCTCGAGAAGAGCCTCCTCGACTCGGACCCCGAGGTCGCTGAGATCATGGTGCGTTTGAACCTGCCAACCCGATTCAGAGTACGCTGTGTCTAACAACGCCCCCCAGAAAGATGAGGTCCAGCGCCAGCGCGAGTCGATCGTCCTGATCGCCTCCGAGAACATTACTTCCCGCGCCGTCTTCGATGCCCTGGGTTCGCCCATGTCCAACAAGTACTCCGAGGGTTACCCCGGCGCCCGCTACTACGGTGGCAACCAGCACATTGACCAGATCGAGCTGCTCTGCCAGCGTCGTGCCCTGGCTGCCTTCCACGTCGACCCCGAGAAGTGGGGTGTCAACGTCCAGTGCTTGTCTGGCAGCCCTGCCAACCTTCAGGTCTACCAGGCCATCATGCCTCCTCACGGCCGTCTCATGGGTCTCGACCTCCCCCACGGTGGCCACTTGAGCCACGGGTACCAGACACCCCAGCGCAAGATCTCGGCTGTCTCCACCTACTTTGAGACTATGCCCTACCGTGTCAACCTTGACACTGGCATCATCGACTACGACCAGCTCGAGAAGAACATTGTCCTCTACCGCCCCAAGGTCCTCGTCGCCGGTACCTCTGCGTACTGCCGTCTGATCGACTACGAGCGCATGCGCAAAATCGCCGACCTTGTCGGTGCCTACCTTGTCGTCGACATGGCCCACATCTCGGGTCTGATCGCCGCCGAGGTCATCCCCACGCCCTTCCTCTACGCCGACATTGTCACCACCACCACCCACAAGTCTCTCCGTGGTCCCCGTGGTGCCATGATCTTCTACCGGAAGGGCGTTCGCTCCGTCGACGCCAAGACCGGCAAGGAGACCCTCTACGACCTCGAGAACCCCATCAACTTCTCCGTCTTCCCCGGCCACCAGGGTGGCCCCCACAACCACACCATCACTGCCCTGGCCGTTGCGCTCAAGCAGGCTCAGACCCCCGAGTTCCGCCAGTACCAGGAGAAGGTTGTTGCCAACGCCAAGTCGATCGAGAACAAGTTCAAGGAGCTCGGCCACAAGCTCGTGGCCGACGGCACCGACAGCCACATGGTCCTCCTCGACCTGCGCCAGCACGCCCTGGACGGTGCTCGTGTCGAGGCCGTCCTCGAGCAGATCAACATTGCCTGCAACAAGAACTCCATCCCTGGTGACAAGTCGGCCCTGACCCCCTGCGGTATCCGCATCGGTACCCCTGCCATGACCTCGCGTGGCTTCGGCGAGAAAGACTTTGAGCGCGTCGGCCAGTACATTGACGAGGCGATCAAGATCTGCAAGGAGGTCCAGGGCGCGTTGCCCAAGGAGGCCAACAAGCTCAAGGACTTCAAGGCCAAGGTGGCCGGCGGCGAGGTCGCCCGCATCAACGAGCTCCGCAAGGAGATCTCGGCCTGGACCAGCGCCTTCCCCCTCCCCGTCGAGGGCTGGCGTCTGGATGCCGGCATCTAAGCGTGATGTCCGGTGTCGGTAGAGGGAGGCCACTCGAATTTCATCAACAGAGTGGTCGCCGTGATGTGATGAGGCGCGGATTCCACCCGATCCGCCCACGATATGTTCAACAAAGCATGCATTTTCAACAGGCGTTCCTTTTTGCGGTCAGCCAGTCAGTCTGGAGGGAGAATCACAATTACGTGCGAAATGGGAGTTTTGCCACGGGCGGCAGGAAGCTGAAAAGAACTATATTCGTTTCCTTTGTACGATGATTGATATTTATGAATCGTCTTAACACGAGAGAGATATTTGAAATTGATGCGGCCCAGGCCATCAAACCTATTGATGCGACTGGCTTTGATGTTGTGACAGTGTTGCATTGCATACCCTTTTTAGTGATATACGTAAGGTACATTTATTAGTGACGCATCCCTGTCCATGTCGCTGATCCGCCAACGTCGGTCGTTCCTTTTCCACCTCAACTCACTCACCGACGGCCTTCACCCAGACACTAACAACAGCACACGTCCAGGCGCTGCAGAAAGATGGGCTGGCCCTATCGCTTCGTCACCCTCTCCGACGAGGAAAAGGCCCTCCGTCGCAAAGCCCTCGACACCTACGCCGCCAAATCCCACCTGTCCCTCTTCCTCCCACCACTCCTCTTCCTCATCATCCGCCTCGTCCTGCTCGTCATCGACCGCGTGCAGAGGAAGCAGCAGGCCCAGCAGGGAGGACGCTACCAGTCCGTCCCCGGCTCGCCCATCGCCAAAGCCCATCGTCTCGGGAACTGGGGTCTCCTGCGCGAGCGCGTCGTCAAGATCGGGTGGTGGCTCGAGGATGACATCTTCCGCGGCGACGAGAGCTGGGGCCAGAGGGGCGAATGGATCCTAGGCCTCGGATGGCTGGCCTGGCTACTCACACTGTGCGTCCTCGACACGGGCCACGACTTTCTCCATCTCACCAAGCGCTTCGGCCTCGTCGCCTGCGCGCAGCTGCCGGGGCACTACCTCCTCTCGCTCAAGTCGCCCGTGAACCCGGTGGCGCTCGTGTTCCGCACGTCGCACGAAAGGTACAACCGGTACCATCGCGTTCTGGGCCGGGTGCTGTACGTGCTCCTCGCGCTGCACGTGGCCTTTTACAACTACTATCTGTGGACGAGCGGGATATGGCTCAAGCGCATGCTGGCGCCCGTTGTCTTCGCAGGCGTCGTCGCCTCCATGGGTCTCCACGTTCTGAGTGTCACCTCCATGACGGCTGTAAGGCGGTACTCGTACCGCCTCTTCTTCATTACGCACCTCGTCACGGCCTTGTCGCTGCCAACCTTGATCTTCTTCCACGCCCCAAGCGCAAGGGTGTACCTCGTTGAAGCACTCGTCATCTTCATCTGCGACCTCGCTGCGCGCAAGCTGTATACGACCCCCGCCACCTCCAAGTTGGAAAAGATTCCTGGAACAGATCTCGTCAAGATCGTGGCGACGGTCCCGCACAACAAGATGGCCAAGTTCCAGGCTCGCCCGGGCTCGCACGTCTATATCAATCTCCCCGCTGCGTCACGCCCCTCCCAGAAAGCCCTATCGCCCAATTCCCTACTGTACGAGTTCATCTTCAACCCCTTCACCGTCGCGTCCGTCCAGGAAGACGCCGGTACACTGACATTGGTGGCACGGTCGCGGGACGGTCCCTTGACGCGGTATCTCAGCACCCTGTCATCCCTTGACATCAACATCGAAGGCCCGCACGGCGCGGCGGGCAAGTATCTGCATCGCACGCTCTCGGGCCAGTATGACAGGATACTGCTTCTAGCGGGTGGTGTGGGTGCCACTTTTACAGTCCCTGTCTACCGGGCCATCCTCAAGGACAACCCGAGCGCAAAGGTCAGCATGGTGTGGGCAATCCGCTCCGCAGCAGATGCCACATGGGCACCCGAGGTGTTGACCGATGACAATGTGCAGTTGTTCCTCACGGGTGACATGGGCCTAGCGCCCGGTTCGGAGCGGAGTGTCGCTGCCGAGTCGATAGAGATGTCGGGTAGGAATAGGAAAAGACCTGATGTGGGTAGAATCGTGGATGAAACTTTCAGCAAAGGCCGCGAGGAGAGTGTCGCCGTGCTCGTCTGTGGTCCAAAATCCATGAGCAAGGAAGCCCGACAAAGTGTAGGAGCCTGGGTGATGAAGGGCCGCAAGGTGTGGTGGCACGACGAGGCGTTTGGTTGGTAGATATGCCATGTTCTAAGAAGTTGAATGTGTATTCGAAGACTACGGAAAGACCACTGTAGATGGTCCTCTCTAGATAAAAAAAAACAAGGGTATAATCATGGAAAGGATAGCCTTCCCTCCTTTGAACTGAGTGAAATCTATATCATAAACCCCACACCAACGAACGCCGAAACCACCCCTGAATTACTCCCACCTTTCCACGGCTCATGTGAGACGGTAAACAAACTAAGAAAGGGGGGGGGGGGGAAGTCCTAGCTAACGCTACCTGTACTTGGCAAGCTGTGCCATGATGTTCTGCACCTGGGCTGCGCTATCCCCCGACTGCGCGGACTGTCCGCCGTACGGAGCGCCATACTGCTGCTGGGGAGGGAGTTGCGCCTGGTAGTGCGGGTGATGAGGCGCTTGGGGGTGGTGGGCTTGCTGCTGGGGATTCAGCGCGCCCAGAATGGCCCCAACGTCTGTCGAGCCCGGCCCGGAACCAGAGGCAGCGGCGATGACCTGCTGCAGTGTCGCTGGATCCAGCTTCCCCATGATAGCCGCGAGATCGCCTTGCGCCGGTGCGGCTTGTTGGACAGGGGCCTGCTGGGGAAATGCGTGTGGCTGGGCCGGATATGCTTGGGCAGGCGGCGCTCCATAGTAGTTACCAACAGCCGGTGGAGGCTGCTGCTGCGGCTGATGGCCAACGTAGGGCTGGTGTCCGTAGCCTTGAGGAGCAGTGTACGGCGGCAGCTGATACCCTTGGCGCGCATGGGATGACTTTTTGTCGAGAACCACGGCAGCGACAACGTGCGGCTCAAGGTCGGCATACTGATCGAAGCGAACATTGGCACTACCGTTGGATCGGTCGAAAGCCAGCGCAGGAACCTTGCCCATGTTTTGTGCGCGCATGTCAAGCTCAATGACGGCATGCACGCCATCGGCTGCCTGCTGCTGTATGATCTGGTCTTTGCCACCAGCACGCGGGTCGATGTACATACTCTTGACGGCCAGACCCTTGTCCTTGAATGGCTGCTCAACCCAGGCGATGAAGTCAGGATTCAAGCCAGGCGCCAGCAAAAGCTGGACGTCGGGCACGTCAGCACCAAAGCGCCTCTGGGGCATGTCGGGTCCGGAGCCAGATGATCGATGACCATAGCCCATGGGGCTGCGCTGCCGATGAGCGTTGCCATGTCGCCCGTATTCAGGGGACCGGGACCGGTTGCGACGGTCACCGTAGCCACTGTCGCGCCTGTAGCCATCGCTGTAGTTGCCGCGACGGGGGGAGTGGTTGCGTCCTCGGTTCTCATGCCTACCGTTGCGACGGGAGTCGCGTCCACCGCGGTCGCGGTCGCGGTCAGGACTCCGTCGGTCATTCTTCTTGCCTTTGTCTTGCAATTTGGAGATTTCAAGGTCTGGAGACGTCAGCTACACGTCTTGTAGTGGAGTGGAAGTACTCACGGATTCGTCGTCCCTTGACCTCGTAACCCTCCAGGTGTTGAAGAGCGCTAGATCCTTCTTCAACAGTATGGTACTGCACGAAACCATACGCAGACTTGAGCGAGATCTGCGCAAGTCTACCGAACCGGTAGAAAATGTCAAAAACATCCCGCTTGGAGACTTTGTCACTCGAAAGATTGCCTACAAGGGTCAGCTACAAGATCGACTCTGACCTGGTTCGGGTACTCACCAATGAAAATCCTAGAACCTTCAGGGAATCTGTCCCACTTTGCTTCGGTCATGTACTGTCTCTCATCGGCGAGGAAACGTTCCCAATTACGCTGATAATCATCTTCAGAGGTTGTGCCGGCAGCAGGGGCTTCTGGAGCGGGGTCCTGGTCCTCGGCAGCAGGAGCAGGCGCACCAGGATGGTGCTGGGAGGGTAGAGAATTGCCAGGAGTAGCTGGCTTGGGCGGGCGGGGAGGGAGAGAGGCTGCAGATGGGAGCGCAATGGTTGTTGGCACAGCAGGCTGCGAGTCCTGGTTTTCAGTTTCCGTGGGTGCTGGGGCAGTTGGGTTGTCATGGCTAGCAGTAGTGCTTGTGGTAGGGTGTTGTTGGGCAGTGATATCAGCCACAAGCTGATCAATCGCAACATCTGCTGCAGTAGGCTGCTCGTTGCTGGTCTGGGCAGCTTCGTGCTCGACCTTCTCAGCGGAGGCACTCACATCTCTCGACTGGGTATCTTCAGGCACGGGCTTGTGGGCGCCCGAGTCCCCTTCATGCTGTGCGCGCGTGACGTCCTCTGGCTGCTGTTCGTCCTCAGCGCCTTCGTCCGGGTTTATGGGCGAGTCAAAAATATTGGCGTAGTCATCATCGTTGCCATCATCTTGGGCTGGCTGTGCCTGGGCTTGCGCAATGTTGTTGGCAGGCTCCTCGGCAGCCTCATCGCCATAAGGGTCATCGTCGTCGTCTACAACGTCTTCGTCGGCGGCATCGTGGGCGCCAACCTTGTGCTCCTGGGCCGGCTCGGGGACGCTGCTGGTGTTGAGGTCTGCGACCGCGACCTGGCCGTTGGTGGCAGCAGCCGCGGCGACCATGGCGTCAATCGTATCGACCGTGTCTTGGAGGGTGGGCACCACGAGCGGCGAGGCTGTATGCAAGGGCGATGGGGATACGGGGGACAAGCTGGCAGCACTGGCCTGAATTTCAGCCTCGGGGTGCTCTGTCATCAAAGCTGGGTTGGTTGGGCAGTACGAAGTATAGGGTGACGGGGACGCAGAAGGCCTCGATAGAGATCCAGAGCAGGAAGTGGGACGGCTGAAGAGCGCGACGTTTTTTTTCCTTCTCCTTCTGGCCTTTTTGATGTATCTGTCTCTCGCAATCAGGGTCGCGTTGGCAAGCGGGGGGGTTGGTAGAGTTTGAGCGAGTCTTGGGGCCGGTGCTAGATAAGCTCGAGGCAGGTCTTTCTGGTCGCGGGCAGCAGCAGGCTCGGGTGGTGAGGAGATACAGCAAGCAGTGATAGTATTGAGATTGAGATTATCTTGAGGTTTGAGGCTGAGTGTGAAGCACCGATCGCAACAGTGACCTTTGATTCGATTGGAGATGGAGTCGGCCCAGGACGAGTAGTGGTGAGGCTGTAGGATGGTGAAGTGGGATGGAGACTGGCGCGCGAAAAGCAATATGGACTGATTTCTTCACTCTGCTGGCTGCTGAGGAAGCAGTGGGGCAGCTCCAGCGAGCTTGGAGCCTGAAGCTGCGCCACGGTCACTTGGGAGTGGGTGTCTCCAATCTGGCAGGCGGTATGAGACTCGTCTTGGCAGAAATAGGGACCTTGGAAAAGGCACTCAGCAGCGTTACTACTCGCTCGGTCCTCAATCTACTAAAACTACTAACTCTGCGCGGCTTGATAATGTCATGAATCGCCAGTTCAGCTCTCGGGCATGGCAGCTATTGATCAGCAGCCGCAGCCGGCCGTTGTTGCGCCCACGAGGCGCAACGCGCTTCAAGCAGCATGAGGCCTTCGATGCCCGTTTGGACAGAGACGCGCTGGCAGAGACTCGCGTGTGGTTCGCCGGCTTCAACGAGGACCACCTGCCCAGGGGAAGTACTTCGTTTGCGCGGTCCAGTGGCGCTGGCGGGCAGCATGTCAACAAGTGAGCGATCACTCTATCGAGCTCATGGTTTACGAGGAGCTGATGGGGATCGTAAAGGACCGAGACCAAGGCGATAACCGTCTTCCCGCTATATGAGCTGCTGGCCATACTGCCCAAGACTCTGCATGCGCACGTGAGGGCGTCGCGCTACTACACGGCGAACAATGACTCCCTGACATTTCACGCCCAAACGTCGAGGTCGAGGAACGCTAACATGGAGGAGAACCGTGACAAGCTGGTGGCCGAGATCAAGCGAATCTACCACGCCAACACTCCAAACGAGACGAGCCAGGACAAGAAGGACAAATATGAGGAAGTGTCAGTGCGCATGATGCAGTTTGGACTAAGGAGTGCAGCTAATCAACACTTGCAGATCCAAAAAGTTCCACGAAACCCGGGTCAAGAGCAAAAAAGTACTGAGCTCCAAGAAGCAGGCGCGCAGAGGATCTGTGGATTGATGAGTATAGTGTACAAATCTCAAGACCTGTAGCTACATCAGCTTGCTCACCTTGACGGAACACAAGAAGGCATTTCCGTCACAATGACACCAACGATTGCGCAAAGCTCAAGACGTACGTACTCGAGCAATGCCTCAAGCTGCCTCGTCGTCCTTCCCAGCAGTGAATCATCGCATCGGCTCAAGTTTGTGCATTTTCAGCCGCGCAATCAGTCCAGACTGCCTAGTGACGCCCCAGAATGCCATTCTTGGTTGTGCTTGTCTGACAGAGTGACGGGCAGTCTGCATCCCGACATCGCATCGGAGCCAGTCCAGTCTCTTTCCCCACCTTTGTGAGCCCGGGGCCTGGGCCTGCCTGAGCCTGAGCCTTGGCCCCGCCCGCCCGCCCACTAAATTCAAGCATCGTTCTTCATCTCTCTATCACAGCATCCATCACAACATTGCCAAGCATTCCATCGCGAATAATTTTTACCCACCGCCTACACAATCGCCAAGTACGCAGATATCATTCAACGAGCTCAGGCCGCTGCGCGACAGACCTGCGCACCACACCGCTGTCGCTCCTTGCACCCCGCGGGGGGAAAGGCTCCAAGCGAGTACTGTCATCTCACGAGATTTCTCCGTCCATTCGATAAGCGACACACACCGCTACCATGGCGACCCAGCATCGGACACAGCCGCGGAAACCGCTCGGCCAGCCAGCGCCTCAGGTCCAGCCGTGTCGATACAAGGTCGGCAAGACGCTCGGCGCGGGGAGCTACTCAGTCGTCAAGGAATGCGTCCACATCGATACGGGGCGGTACTATGCCGCCAAGGTGATCAACAAGCGCCTCATGGCCGGACGAGAGCACATGGTGCGTACCACTACTCACCTGCCAAACGCATAGACTGACCCCGATCCCAGGTCCGCAATGAGATTGCCGTGCTCAAAAAGGTGTCCATGGGCCACCAGAACATCCTCACCCTCGTCGACTACTTTGAGACCATGAACAACCTCTACCTGGTCACCGACCTGGCCCTCGGCGGCGAGCTCTTTGACCGCATCTGCCGCAAGGGGTCGTACTACGAGTCGGACGCGGCCGACCTCATCCGCGCCACCCTCTCGGCCGTCGCCTACCTGCACGACCACGGCATCGTCCACCGCGACCTCAAGCCCGAGAACCTCCTGTTCCGCACGCCCGAGGACAATGCGGAGCTCCTCATCGCCGACTTTGGCCTCTCGCGCATCATGGACGAGGAGCAGTTCCACGTGCTGACCACCACCTGCGGCACCCCGGGCTACATGGCCCCCGAGATCTTCAAGAAGACGGGCCACGGCAAGCCCGTCGACCTCTGGGCCCTCGGCGTCATCACCTACTTCCTCATCTGCGGTTACACCCCCTTTGACCGCGATTCGGACTTTGAGGAAATGCAGGCCATCCTCAACGCCGACTACTCCTTCACCCCCGTCGAGTACTGGCGCGGCGTCTCCAGCCATGCCAAGGACTTTATCACCCGCTGCCTCACCGTCGACCCGTCCGGCCGCATCACCGCCCACGAGGCCCTCCAGCATCCCTTTGTCGCCGCCCGCCTGCCCTCCGACGGCGCCGGCGAGAATCTGCTGCCCGCCATCAAGAAGAACTTCAACGCCCGCAGGACCCTCCACACCGCCATCGACACCGTTCGCGCCATCAACAAGCTTCGCGAGGCGCAGAACGTGCTCATGGACGGCGCCAAATCCCACGAGCCGCAGCGCGGCAAGGCCACGCCCCCCGTGGCTGGGGCCGCGACGACGGCAGCGGCACCAAGGAAGGACGACAGCGCCATCTCCATGGGAATGGATAGTGGCTACGGCACGGGGAGCGCTGGCGACGGCGATGTTACCATGGGAGGCACAACGGTGCCAGCTGTGCTGCATCCCGGTAACGCGGCCAACAAGGCTGTCGAGGCGGGCAAGGGCCTGTGGAGCGCCGCGACGCGGAGGTGATACGAGATACGAGATACGATACGACACGAGAAGACAAAGCGCAGGGTGCTGCAAGATGTATAGGTGTGCCGCGCACACATCGTATGGCTCACAGCGAGTATTGTCCCACATGATACATGAATTGGTTTCGGCATTTCAGGTTTTTTTTGTATTGTTTGAATTAGTGAGTGGGTATTGGGAGTGACCTCTCTTGTGACTACTCCGCCCATGTCACTCTTCCTCTCCTGATCCGGTGTCAAGCGACTGTCCAGGTGCCGCGCACCATATTACGCCTCAGCAACTAAAGTATATACATTATCGAATGCGCATGTCCATTCTCTATGGAGCATGGTATGCGCCTCATGTCTGAATTAGGATTCCCGTGAGGTTTATACACGAAACGCCTGAATGCATTGGTCCCCCCGCTGTGTCGATGCTATTCGTATGGTATTCTCTCGTGGGAGAGATATAAATGAAAAAAAAAAAAGGCCGTGAGGAATGAAGAGGCATCGCAGGTCGTGAAAAATCGGCCGTAAGAAATGGTAGTAGTGTCACACGAGATGTTCGCTCATCGCGAGAAGACCTCGGACAGCTCAATCTCCCGGGGCTCAGGCTTGGCGTACCAGCCCGCCTGTGCCTCGAAGCTCTCGGAGTTTGGGTCGGGTGTCGTTGGGCTGAGAGTGCCGCTACCGGATGTCCAGCTCGATCCGCTGCCCAGTGTCCAGCCGTCGCTGGAGCTTTCGCGTCGCTGGCTCAGCTGGCCAGCTCTGAAGTAGGTCGCATCGCGCTCCTCATCAAAGAGCTCGGCGGCGTGTCCGGTCTCGACAAACTCGTAGTCCCAGCGTAGGAGCTTGCCCTCCTGGCGGCGGGGCAGGTAACGGGCGCGAGCATAGTAGAAGAAGATGGCCGCGATGAGGCCACCGCCAACCAGATCAACAGCGTAGTGGTGGCTCAGGTACATGGTAGCCCACCACACCCAGGCCGCATACAGACTGAAGGCGACGCGGAACTGGGGGAAGCAATGGCTCATGAAGAGGGCCTCGAGGACGGCGTTGGCGGCGTGCAGCGAGGGGAACGCACCAAAGGGAAGCGGCGCATTGGTAAAGTTGCTGGTGTATAAATCGAAGCCAAAGATAGCGTCGAGACGGGCCAGGCCCGCGGGCGAGCCAGGCATGCCGTATTCTGCCGGTGTGAGACCATGCTCGTTCTCGTACCACGGAGGAGTGCAGGGAAAGCATAGCTGAATTGTGACGCCGAGGATGCTCATCCACCCAAAAGCCTTTGCAAACACGGGCGTCGTGCCAGGCGCGGCGAAGATGAACATGGCGATGGAGCAAGCGAGCGGCGCAGCAAAGTGGATGATGCCATAAGGAAGCCAGGCGAGGATATCGAGGATGGGGTGCTGATGTGCCGAGAGGATATTCGAGAGGTTGGCGCCGTAGAGCACGTTTTCGAGGGCTGGGAGCACGCGGACCCAGATGTGAGGTCGGTAATCGTATGGAATGAATCTGCTTGTGTCAGCCTGCTATCGAGGTGGAGGGCCGAAGCCAGGATACGGTGCTTACCTGCTGCTAAAGAAGTACAACAGCCAAATCCAGATCATCATCGACGGCCTGAAGAACTGCCCAGTTGCCGGCATGAGCAGAATCCACAGACTGCCCATGACGGCCAGCAACTTGATGGTCGGTGCCGGCGGCGAGATCCAGAGCGAGAAGAGCGACAGCGCAGCGAGGAAGACATACTGGAGGTCCCAGATTGTGTAATTCCGCCTCTGCAGCTGCCTCACGCCATCCCACAAGCTGAACGAGGTCTGGAGGTTGGTGATGTTGTCGACGCCCGGCGGTAAAATCTTTGACTTTGAGCGAGCCCGCGGTCGTGCCCCATGCCGCTGCTGTTGTTGTTGCTGCTGGTACCAAGCGGGAAGACGGCTGAGAATGGCGGCATGGAGGCTGTCGGAAGGCAGGTACGGCAGCGTCAGCTTCGGCTTTGCGCCTGGCACTGGACCAGGAAGCTTGCTCATGATTAGGTGATCGATAGCAGTATTGTCGAGGTAGCGCGCAATCGAGTACAGTTGCTGTTGATGTTGTGAGTGCGCCGGTGTGCGAGGTGCCCACTATCGCAGTCCCAAGAAAATGCAAGCCGGATGTGAAGCTGCTTTTTGGTCCGGAAAGGGATGAGAGTAATTAGAGGGTACCGGAGCCTGAAGGATCCAACAGAGACCAGGATGGATGCTGATGTCGTGACGACGCGCCAAGGCTTTGCGTGCCGTGAGTGAGATGAAGCAAGTGCGCACGAGGACAAGGTGAGCTAGGGAAGGTACATGTAGTGAGGTACCTTGCTTGCTCGCGTGCTCACCACTGGCTCCCTCGTTTGGGAGGACGGGATGGACGACTGGAGAAGCAGGACGGACCACGGCGAGGCAGAAGAATGCTGGGGGAGGAAAAGGGTGAAGTTTAGACTCCCAGTCTCACCTTATGAGAAAGCCAGCAAAGACAGGAGTGACGAGCGATGAGCAAAGACAAATAGCGTGGCATGACAAGCCAAGGATTGATTAGTCGGGCGCCGGGCACCTGTGGAGCGGAACTAATAGTACTAAGCACCTGGGCAGCTGGCACGATTGTCTCTGATGATCGGACTCTTCTGTACGATCATGGACATTTCTTACTGAAATCTGAGGGCTGTCGCCAAAGAATCGGCCTTCGGATGCTGCGGGAGAGGTACCCAGTACCTGGATGCGCGTACCGGCTCCGCCATCGCCCTGAATCCCGGCAATTTCTTCTTCGGGGGTACAGCTTCCAGGCTTTGACGGTTCCACCCCGTCAGCTGGTACATGTAGGCCTGTACCGTCCTGAACTCCTGGAATCAACAATATATCAGTCAGTCCAAGGCCAGCTAGACACTGATGAATGTCCATTGTGAGATGCCATGTCTTAAGGCGGTTGTCTGACAGTCCAGCACCTTTCTCGCTAGTCCAGGCTCAATGTCTCGGACTCCATCGCTCGGCGAACATGAACACCCGTCAGCGCACGCGCGCGCGCAGGCACAAGGTCACACACAGCCTAGCGGACCGCCCGGAACCCTTGAACAGTCCGAAGCCACAGGATGATGAAGTAAGCGGGCGGGCGCCTCGCACTCTACAAGAGTGCGCAGGGGCGGATACGCGAACTTAATCAGAATTAGACATTGCCGTAGCTACAATTTCAAACAATGTTCATCACAGAGGCCCCTTCACAGTCACAGTGGGTGGGTGACACAGACCCAAGCACACAGACACGACTGTCAGCGCCAAGCGTGGCTGGCACGCATCCGCGCGCGGGTGCTCTTTGTCTGCCACTCCGGACGTGGTGGTAGACTGGGTACATAGCAATGCCAGACAAGGCGCACCGCATCACTAGTCGTCTGACATGTCCCTACTTTTATTAGACGGGTGCTCGCGTGCTCGCTCGCGACAAAGACGGTGACCAGGCGGCTTTTTCCATGACAGCGACACCGGTGTGCCAAGACCGGGCGGAGAGGGCTGCCAGCCAATCAAGCCGCCCCCGCTCGCTCTTGGCGCGGTTTACTCGGCACTCAGAGGGTACTTGACCCCAAGGTACCTCGACCTGCCAACGCCAAGTCTGAAACATGTCATCAATCCGCTTCAGTGCCCAGCCATTTCTCCCTTTCGTTGCTCGGCGGATTCTTCTCCTGCTCATTCTAAATTCTCCACCGTCAGGCAGCTTTTTAGTTTAAACAAGCCCAGCAGTTCGGCGAAGCCTGCAGAGTGCAGAGCCTCCAGTCCTCCAAGGGCGAAAAGCACGTATCCGTACAGCAGTAGCTCGTGGTGCACACACACACAACCCCTTTGATGACATCGTCATCGCTGGACCAAACTCAATCATCAGAATGACGCAGCACGCGCCTAACACATATTCTCAACACCACACATCTTCGATAGCACGGTGCGGGCGACTATACCCGCCAACCTCATGCTCAGGAACCACGCGCAAAAGTCGTCGCTAGCCTCCCGCGCAAGCCGGAGCTGCCTGACGAGGTTGAAATTGCGCCCAGCATGAAAAAATGCGAGCACGCGACCATCAGCTGCCACTTGTTTCGGCGCCTGCGGCAACAGCAGGGCCCCTGGTCTACGTGGGCGCGCTACCTTCGATCACCCGTCCATTGCGTCCAGAGTCTCCATATATCGCGTCCTCGATCCGGTTGGGTTTTGTTTGAACCCTGCTCAACGATGGCCTTGTTTTAATTCCCATCGGCCATGAATCACGCAGCTGCCTGATATGAGCCTGCCTCCATGTTTGTGAGAGCCTAGGGAAGGTGACTGGCACCTGACACTGACACTGACACTAACACTGAGTATCGACAATCTCAATTTTTATTCATGCATGAAGCTTGCTTAGGCTTAATGAGATCATCACAAGCCTGCATTGGACGAATGTACCCATTATTTGATTAGTCTGCCCTTTTTCTTTCCCTTAAGTCCGGGCTCTCGGCAGCCTCACATCCACCGAGGCTTGGGGGACCACATTAATTACTAATAACGACGCGAACTACCCGCATCGTCCGGGCACCCGCAGATTTCTCACCAAGAGACCGAGACGGCGACGCGGGCGGGAGGGGGGCGAACAAGCATCGGCCCCTTTTTTTTTCTTCTTTTTTTTTAAAAAAAAATCGAGCTTTTCCCCCCTCTGTTAGCCTCTGCTCGGTATCATTCTCCTAGACTAGCACCTAGGCTCGGCGGACTTTCTTTCCCGCTGCTGCGTCGCAAAGTCCGCAATGTCAAATTGCAGCGAGGTCAGATACGGTGTAGTGCCGCCCTCAGCCCAGGCTCTCCATGTCACTGCGTGGGCCTTGGCAGCCATGAGTGACTCACGCTGGTCTCCCATTTGCAGAAGCCTTACACACACACACACAGCTTGCAGCAAATCTCATGCATGCTGCCGCGGCACTTGTCGTTGGTTGTAACAAACATTCGATTTGTGTAGATCATGTGCCAGCAGTTATTCACTGTTGCAGCCGTTCAAAGCTTGCACCACAGCGCGGGAAGTGGTAAGCCTGCCGTTCTCCCGTCCACAACGGCCGCGCTGCCTTACCCTAGACCTAAAGTAGTTTAGCACGCGTGGGTAACGCGCGCTTGTTCACAGTCGCCGTATAGAGGACATTTGTTAGCTCATTAGTGATTTCAAGTTGAAAAAAAAAATGTATCAAATTCTACCCGAGCAAAGGAAAAGGAGCTGGCTTCATTTATGCTTTGACAAAGGGAAGAACTCATTATTCAAGTATCCATGGGCATTCAAATGTCAATTTGGAGCATCAGCCATTAGAGGATCACACGTTTACCGGTCCAGTCTTTATAATTTCAGGCAACGAGTGTATTAAATTGTTTCTTGTTGTTCTTTCACCGCCCAAAGGCTGTCGTCCATCAAAGAAAGGACGAGGATCGTGGTCTAGCACAGTCCTATTGCCATGATAAGGGATGATCAACACCCCCTACTCCTCAACATACCTTACCTTATCATGCCTGATTATGCGAGCGTCCTAAGAACAGGCGTGGCCGCCATCTCACTCATCGGAATGCCCTTGGTCAAGGACCTACCTCGGCCAAAGGCAACAGGGGGTGGTGAAAGGCTACGTTGATCAAAGTCAGCAATATCAAAATCATCATCATCAACGTCTTCGTCCACCAGCACAGCCTTGTGCGGAATGTGCATCTGCTTCTCCCCCTGCGTCGGGGTCACAACCACGCTATGACCGGTGCAGACGGTACCCACCACAGTCTCATCGTCGTCGTCGTCGCTATCATCGCCCACGACAAAAGCCGGACCATGAAGAATACGTCCGCCCGCTTGGGGGCGTGGAGAACCACAACGTGCATGCTGCGAGTTCATGAGCTGCGCTTCAATGTCGTCCAGCTGATCGTCGCGGCGACGCACGGCTTCCATGAGCTTCTGCGCGAGCTCCACGGCCTTGACGCCTTGGCCGCGGACCTTCCAGTAGCGCCAGTTGATGTAGCATAGAAAGGCGGAGAGGGCGATGAGGGTGATGATGAGGGCGGAGAGGGTGACTTGGTAAACGACCATGTGGGAGGCGTGGGCGTCATGGTGAGGGGTATCCATGGTGGAGGGTATTGTGGTAGTTGTCTGATAGGTGTGTTTGTATGGCTTGTCGTGAGAGTCAAGACTAGAAACGTGTCAGAGATCTGTCTGACACTGCTAGGGGTCTTTGAGTGAATGTTGGTGAGGATGAAGGGGAAGAGAGAGCACTGTAGAGTGTGATCGAGAAGATATATACAGGCTGGACTGCCGTTCCGCAAGGGTGACCGCGCTGTTCGTTACAGTGCCATGTCGTTCATTCACTGTCGCAGGGACGAACAGATGCACTTGTTTGCCTCGCCCTTGCGGACCGGCTGTTCTTGGCGGAACAGGTCGCCAATCTGAACAGAACATTTAATCGACCCGTAGATGTGAAGACGTAACCTTGTCAACGCCGCGAACAGCACACGTAACCTGCTGTAATGTCTCTTTGGTATCAATGCTGAATAGTGAGCCCAGAACGAACGCCCGCGATCCCGCCCCACTCAAAAGAACTTGCTCTTCACGCTGTTCATGACAAAGCTCCTCTTCTGCTTGCTGATGTACTTGTTCACGTCCGTCGCCCAGCCCTGGCTCTGCTGCTGCAGCCCATCCATGCTGTCCCCCATAATGTTCAGCTTCTCGGTGCGTTCGTTGAGCTGGCGCGTCAGGTAGTCGCCCCAACCTTCCTGGCTTGGGTTGGACGGACCGCCGGCCTCGCCATTGTGGATGTTACGCTTCTCCTGGGCCGCTGCCTCGAGCATGCGCTTGCTGGGGGGCCTGTCCGGGCCGCCGACGAGAAGGTCTAGGTCCAGCGGCGACACATATTGCGTGCCCGAGATCCATTGCAGGTTGGAGATGGTGGGCCGTGGAGGACACTCGAGCTTGGGGTTGATCATGGTGTCTGGCGACTGCTGCAGCGACTGACCAGTGCCCCAGCAATGGATGACCGCCATCTCGCTTGGTCCCGTCCATGCAAAGACATCGCCAGTGGGCGTCACGGTCGTGTTGGTGCTTCTGCCCGCGTCGATCATGGGCAGCGGCGCGCGGCCGATCTCCTTCAAGCCAGGGATAGAAAAGGCGCGGGCTGTCTGGTCGCCAAAGACGCCAATCACCGCAAAGCCTTGCAGCTCCAGCTCGGCCACGCTCGCGGCATCGCAGAGGATGTCGTCGAATTCTTTCGATGCGCCCTTTGAGTTGGCGGGACGGAAGATGCGAATCTCTTTCTCAGTCACTGTGTGGATGTTAGTTGAGCATTTTCGTCTGAAGGGTCCAGGATACAGTACCTGCCACGACGACACCGTTAACGGACCGGCCCTCACGTAGGCCGGCAACGCTACCACCAGTTGCGACGGCCGGCTTGCCAGTATCTGCCTCAATGGGGTTCAGAGAGATAATCTTGTCGTCAAACGCGACAACACCAGCCAGCTGCACCGAGTACGATCCGTTCTGGCCCGGGAGTATCTTGAACGTGATGACCTTGCCGAGGTTCGTCCCGACGAAACAGCAGATGCTGGAGTACTTGTCCTCGTCCAGAGTCATGACGCCAAATTCAATGACAACAGGCCACTCCTTGGGCGGCGCATCTGATTTGGAGTGGTGCCCCTTGAGGAAGGACGTGCGCTTCTCTTGCTTGGCAAAGTCCGTCATGGGCGCCTGGTAGATGATCGCTGGGGCCCGCAAATCGATCAGCGACAGGAAGCCGAGCTCTGAGCCGACAGCAACAAAGCCTACGTTTGATATCTGCACCGCAGTGATAGGACCTTGCATCATCTCGTACAGGACCAACGGGTTCAGGCCCTCCTTAAGAGCAGGTTCGGATCGGGAGCTGATGTCAGTCAAGCCCATGGGGTTCGGATCAATGTGTTGTGGGCGTTCCGTCTTGCCGTAGAATCGGTTCTGTCCCCAGCGAAACACGACGACTTCCCCCGTGCGAGTGCCAACGACAAACTCGCCCGTGTTCCCGGCCATGTTCATTGTCGTAATCTCAATGTCGTCAAACCGATTCAGCGTACGTGCCATGTCGACCTGCAGCTGCTGCCCATTCTCAATCTCGTCCGCGTGTCCCGAGTCCCAGATCCGGATGGTGCTGTCGGCCTGGGCTGCCTGGATGATTGTGCGTTCCTCGAAACGCTTCCGCGGCCGCGGGCCCTCGGCACCTCCTTTGAGCAAGGGTTCGCCCTGATCGCGCTTCTCCATCATTGCCAGCCAGCGCGCCCTCTCGAGCGGCGACACTTGGACTTTTGTGATGAAGGGGTGGACGAAGAAGGTTGAAGGGTGTAGCTGGTTTGTGGGACTGATGGGGTAGCCAGAAGGGAAAGTCATGGTAATGAGCTCTCCCGACGTCAAGAGTGAAACGATGGCGATGGGGTCTTGGGCACCGGCAAAGTATGGCGATTCACGAGGGATGAGCAGGAATTTCTTCGCCTGCGCCCCAGCCGGCAAGGGAAGTTCTTTGTGAGTCTTCCCCTGAAAGTACTGCGCGAGCGATTGCCATGTCGCTGTTGCGTAGACGGGGGTCACGCCAAGATCGATAAACGTCATGCTCTTGGGCGCAGCTCCGGCAGGCTGTCCCCCCGAGATCAAAAGGCCGGAGTCGTCGCAGTTCTGCTTGCAGCACCACTTGATGTCAGTGATTGGCTCGGCAAAGGTGGCCTGCGCAGACGTCGAGTCGGGCTGGTCAACGTGCATCTGGTTGAGGGTGCGCGCCAGCACGATCTTCTCTTCCCTGTGGTCCCAAAAGACCAGGCTGCCATCGTCGTGCACAGTGGCGACAAATGTGCCGGACGGATGCCACAAGGCATGCGTCAGCCGAGGGTAGCGAATTTTGTCAGTGCCCACGTTGTTGCCTCCGCTGGCACCTGGGGGCACGCCGTAGTGGAGGAACTGGGTGGCCTTGTTCTGCTTGAAGGAGTAGACGACAGCGCCATGGCTGTATGCAATGAGCAGCTTGCCAATGTCACGAGGATGCAAGGCCAGAGAGACGAGACTGACGGCGCGCACGGTAGGTTCCTTCTCGTGCCAAAAGTTCGGTAGCCGGAAAGCACGGGATAGACTGACCCTATCCAGGTCGTACGCCAGCACCTCTCCGTTCTGCAGGCCGACAAAGACCCAGTCTAGCATGGGGTCCGTCACGATCGAGACGATGTGGCCAGCGATCACCTGCACACCGATGCGTCCCCCGGTGTCGAGGTCCCAGATGGCGAGTTCGTTCTTGGAATCGGTGCTGACGAGGCGGTTGCCGGTGAACTGCACGTCGTTGAAGGTTGTCGCACGTAGAGGCTCGAGGATCTTCTGCACTCTTCGCTGCCCAAAGACATAAATCTTGCCGGAGCCATACCTGCTCTCGCTCGTGCCGATGGCCAACAATGATTGCACGGGGTCGTATGCGAGGCAGCTGGGTGACTGTCAGTTGGGGCTCGAGGGCGGGAGGACGCGCAACGCACCTGATCTGCGAGTTGATACCGTACCGCGCCTGGTCATCTGGGGTGAAGAGCTCTGGGCGGATACTGGCAGACAGGTCATGCTGGATGCCTGCCTGCTTGCCGCGTAGGAAGGACGACATTTTGCGTTGGCCGACAAAGGACCTTGAAGACGAGGAAGTGCTGTCGCATGTACTATTAAGCTCTTGTACGGAGTAGGCGTGGGGCACATGCAGGGTGCGGCAACGTCATGCACAGTGCGTAATATCTGACAGGCGTACATCATCACACTGTACATTTCACGGCATTGCTTGGCAACAAGGTTGACTGTTGAGGAATTGACTGACTGCATTGAGAAATTCTCTACTCGCCATTTTGACGACCGAGATCCCTCCTCACACGCCAGACCTTGGACCCGACGGGCCGCTTCTCGTGCCCTCGGAGGATTTCAACCCATGGCACCTGGCCTACATCAGTCGCCTCTGTCACATCCTCCGGCTCCCTGTCAGAGACATCTTCGTCTGTGTCCTGGTCTTCAATCTGCAGGTGCGTAGTCGCATCGTCGTCCCCGGACTGGTGATACAAGTCTTCTGTGTAAGCCCAGCTCGGGGCATCAAACTTACCATGGACGAGGACAAGATCCTGGTTCAGGTCCATGGCAGTGTGTATTTGATCCAGTGACATGGGTGTCAAGAGCTGCAGGACCTTCCTTGCCGGATCAATGCCACGCACCAGCACCAGTCCAATCGTCTTTGAGTAGCGAGGATCGAGACTTGCATCGTTCTGGTTCTGGATGAAGGGGATGCCCTCGGGGGACTCGGAGATGGTGATGTCTGCGGAAGCCGAACTCACTAGTTCCCCGTAGGCCTTGCGGTCCCCAGTCACCACTACGGCAAGCACCATGCCATTGATGGAGCTTGCGAGTAGATCGGCCGGTGGCTCGTAGTTGTAGCAGAGGATGCCCTTGATACCCCCCTTGGAACCAGCGTAGCGGAGTTCGAGCGGTGGATGCTGGCTAAGAGGCGATGGATTCCAGCTGAGTCTGCCCGGGTCAGACGTTGGCCTCAGGTGGAAATACGACATTGTTTGCATGGCCCGCAGATGGGCGCCAGTGCGCGCTGTGAATTCCGACGGCTGAGATGGCAATGTCCTGAAATTCTTGACCGTCGCAGCTCTCAAGGAGTCGACCGTGTCCGCAGGGCCAAGTTCCGACATGTAGATGACCTCGTCGGGTGTCGTGTGGCGGATGATATCCTCCAACAACTCGAGACCAGTGCCGAGGATCCATCCTGGGGTGTTGATAATGAGCGGTACACCTTTGAGCGAGGCTGCGTACGTTGCGTACAAATCGAAGGTAGCGGCGCGATAGAGGTCCGGATCCGAGGCTGGCGACACTGACGCAATAGTGTGGCAGCGCACAATCTGTGACGCCGCATTGGCAAAGCTCGGATGTGTAAAGGAGGCGCTGAGGTTTGGCTCCTTGACGTGCACAAGGGATATCGTCCCAGGGAGTGCATACTCGGACTGACCTGGGTCGAGATCCAGCAGAGCCACCCCTTTGTCAACGAGGCCCTTTTCACCACTCCGAGTGATGAGTCGGTTCGCCAGAATTTTCGAGAACGTCGACTTGCCGGCGCTTTTTGGCCCGCACACAAGGGCAGTCAGAGCAGTGCTGTTCGTGCTAGGGGCTAGCAAATTGTCTAGCTCTTTGTTCCATTCTGGAGGCGACTTGAGCTCCTGGATCACGCTCTTCCTAGGCGCGTCTTCTGAGGAGTATAGCTAAAGGAGAGAGGTCAGTCTTGACTCCCAAGTGACGCAGAACCACTCACAATGTCGAAAGACAAGCTGGCAGGCTCGTTCCAGAGATTCCTAAACAAGGGAGAGAGGCGACCCAGCTGGCGTAGGGCCGGAGCGCATGGATCCATGTGAAGCTCCAGCCGGGTCTGCCGACGACTCCTCAACACTGGAATCGCATGGCAGTATGGCGCATGCACCCAATGTGTCTCGCCATCAGCCCGCAGACTAGTCCCAGCTACGGTTACCTCTCCCTCGAGTACCCTGATCCCAAAGCTTCCGAGGACAAGAAAGCGCTGCTCCGTCAGATACGCGAAGAGTCATGCTTGCATATGAGCACTCACCTCGCTTTCCTTCAGCCGAAGCTCCGTAATGCCATTGGAATGTCTGCGGCAGTTGTTCTTGGATGGACGAAAGGACGACAACTGCACTGATCTTGGCGTCGAGGAACCAGTTGACTCCTCACTGGGCTTCATGAGCTAACAGTTTCGAAGCGAATTTTCAGCTTTCTCACCTTTTAAGATGGCGAGCCTTGTTGCGCTGGGGCTTGCCTGGGCTCTCTGGCTGTCTCGCCGCCACAGACGGGGAGTCGCCCTGCCTGCTCAAACCCTGCAACACGCTGAAGGCATTGGAGTTGGAGGGCAGAGCTCGTGGCTCAGGGGACGCAGGCGCACTGGTGGTGTCGCCGAGCTCATTGCCTTCAGCTAGTCGTCGTCTGGCAGAGAGCGCGGTGAGCGCGCTGACAGCAGCTGTAGCATCTGTTCATCAGCATGTGCTCTGAGCTTGAAGTGAGGTGAGATGGAGCAGTAGTCACATTGTGTAGCCTCTTGGTCTACCTTGCGCCGCTTGCTGGCAGACATGCTACGCAGGATATGTGAGAGTGTGCAATGCCAGCATGCAAGCAGTCATGCCAGATTTCCATAAAGGTATAAATCAATGTGGTGGTAATATTGCAGTATTAGAGTTGAAGCCCAAGTTCGAAGGCATCTGCAAATTATCCAAGGTGCAAGTTACCGGACTTATCGATAAGTGCCGGCCAGGGCCTGTAAGTGCCCGTGAGGTCCTGTAAGTGCTGCGTCTTCAGAAGGAACGCGTGCGCACGGACCATTTCGCACCCAGTTCTCCAATTTGCGCGCGGCGGACACGGGCACGCACGCACGGCAGGTGGAGCATGTTCTTCCTCCCCCACGTAACTTTTTCTTCACCCGAACTTTGACATCCAAACTTCCGAGTGAGCGCATCGTCACTTTACTCTCGCTGCCAGCGAGAGCTCTTTCCCCCCCCCCCCCTTCTCCCACCACACCTCAATTTGTCCCTGACCATCTTCACTGTCACATTGCAGAGACTCAACAGCCATAATGGCACCTGCAAGCGACTATAAGGTTGCTTCGCTCAAGAGCCACATTGAGAAGGTGAAGAGCGCAAGCAGCAAAGACAAGAAGACGCCCGCCGCGAAGAAAGCTGCGCCCGTCGCAAAGGCGCAGACCGCCAACAGCCAGAACGCCAACAACCTGTTCGGCAATAAAAATGATGACGATAGCGACGACTCGGACGATGCCTCGAGCAACTCCGATTCCAGCGAGAATGATGAATCTGGCGCTGATTTCCTCAAGAGGTTGACTGCCGCGAAGAAGCCAAACGGCACTGCAGCAAACACCAAGAAGGACGTCGAAGTCGCAGACAGCCAAGCTGAGCTCCCCATCAATACCAAGGCCCAGAAGCCCGTGCCCAATGGTCGCAAAGCTAAACCCTCTACCACTACGACCACCACTACGGCTTCATCAAGCAGCAGCAGCGACTCCGACTCGGACGGTCAGGTGATCACCAGCACGCCCGCCAAGTCCAGGGCCAAAGCAGGCAGCTCCAGCTCCAGCTCCAGCTCCAGCTCCAGCTCCAGCTCTAGTTCCGAGGAAGATTCGGAGTCGGAGAGCGAGGCTGAGATGGGTCCCGTGGAGAAGAAGGCCGCAAATGACGCCGAACCGCCCAAAGCCGTCGAGTCCGACCAGGATACCTCGAGCGAGGACGACAGTTCCGAGGAAGAGGAGGAGGAAGAAGAAGAAGACGACGGCGCGGTCAAAGGCCAAGCGCTACCTGCCTCGAAGCCAAAGCCCGAAGCAGCGCCGCTGCCCAAAGACATGAACGTCGACGATCCAACATCCGACAGCTCGTCCGAGGAAGACAGCGACAGCGATGATGAGGCTGAGCCCGCGCCTGCATCCAAGCCCAAGTCGAAGCCCGCTACTGCGCCAAAGCCTGCTGCCGCGTCCGCCGCAAAGACACAACCACCAAAGACAGCCTCTTCGAAACCCGCCGAGGCCAGGTCGAAACCAGTAGTGTCCCCCTCGGATGACGCATCATCTGAGGATGAGGACATGGCCGATGCGTCCATGCACATTGCAGACCGCAACATGGACAAGCAGCTGGCCGTGCCCAGCTTCATTGCGCCGGACTTTATGCTGCGCAAGAGTGACGAGGGTCTCAATGGGAAGGATGTCGCCAAGATCTGCAGCCAGGCGAACCTCGAGGGGAAACAGCTGTGGTACTTCACCGTTCCCTCCAACGTGCCGATATCTGTCGTCCAGAACCTGGAGATGCCCATGGACGTTGCCCAGAGGGGCGACAGCGTGTTCTCGCACAATGGCGAAGACTACGGCGCCCACTTCAGCAACCCGCCAACCAGGAGGACCTACCAGGTCTTGATTCCGTCCGCTGATGGTCCCTCGTACCAAACATGTAAGTGTATCACCCATCAGCAGCGGGGGAGAAGTCTTTGCTAACCCCTACAGCGCCCCGTCAGTTCGACCAAGTCGTGCAGTTCAAGCGCACTACACAACTTGGCCGTTCGTCAGCCGCGAGTGTGGACGGCCCAGCGCCTCCACCTCCAGCTCGTCCTCAGCCCGAGGGTCTTCGATCTCGGTTCACCCCGATTGGCGTCTACGACCCGGCGAGTTTGGACCGCACACAACAGATCAAGGATGGGAATGACGTTGAGATGACTGATGCGCCTGCCGCCACGGGCTTGAGCCAGAAGGAACAGGCGAAAGCCGACAAGGCTGCGGCCAAGGCTGCGCGAAAAGCCAAAAAGGCCGCTTCCGCCGCCTCCACCCCATCATTGAAGAGGAAGGCCACCGCATCTGAGCAGGATGCCGAGGAGGCCGCGACACAGCTTCTGGAAGAGACGCAGAAGGCCAGCAAGGTGGCCAAGAAACAGAAGAAGGCGCGTGTTGCCAGCCCACCACCGCAGGAGACGGCGGCCAGCGAGCTGCCCAAGCCCACAGAGACGGCCGCGCCAGCTCCCAAGGCCAAGGCGCCCAAGAAGTCGAAGAAGGCGTCTGCTGTGTCGGACACCACCAACGGCACCACGAACAACACCAGCACCACCACTGCTCCCAAGGTCAGCACGCCCGTGCCTCTTCCCCCTATCCCGTCCTCCTCGCAGGCTGCCCCCAGCGCGCCTGTTTCTGCGGCCGCCCCGGCGACACCAGCCGCGAAGAAGGCGAAGAATAGCAAGACGCCCAAGACGCAGGGCAGCAGCACGTCCGCCGCGCCCATAGCCGCCTCCAAGATGACACCGGTTCCGCTGCCCAGGACCTCTTCGAGCTAGGAGTCAGAAAGGTCCAGCACGGTCTGCGCCGAGGGTTCTTCCCCGCGCCAGCCATGTCCCGGCCGCATGTGGAGGAACAAGGACTCTGCTCGGACCCCTGCCGGTCGGTCCGTCAATGGCCACAAGCCCGGTAACCGCAATGGTTATCACAGCTAGGGCAATCAGTGATGAGGCATAGCCAAGCCTCGCGAAGCTCACGTGGAGCATTTCGATTATAATTGGTATCCTGGACACATTTGTTTCCTTAGTTGCTTTCTCTGCTTTTTTCATGCATGACCAGGGGTATCTATCTATCCATCTGCCCAAAGACGGATCGGCGTTCAGAGGGGGCCACATTTTGCGCGTGATTTCGTTTTTTTGAGGTGCTTTCTTTGGCCCGGCATTGCGCTTTCGTTGACGTTGGACAGTCAAGGCTTCTTTCCTCAGGATCGAACTATTTAGTGAAGAGCGAGGGAGGCGTCCTCGACGTACAGACGCTGTGGTACGTAGCAGCAATTCACACATTTCATCAGGACTCGGCACCCACGTGAGACTGTCCATTCTATATAGGTACAGTCTCGTGCACTCAGCTCCGCCCCTCCCGCAAGATGGGATACTCGTACCCCGTACTGGGCGGGAAGAAGCGAAACGTGACAAACGACACGGGACTCTCCGGCTCGAGGGTGACAAATGCGTACGCCGCATTCTTCTGACGCGTGCTCACGCGGAAGCCGCCCGGGGGCCGATGGACCAAGCGCTCGCCCGACGCGGAGGTGACGTGGGGCGTCCTCGTACAGCGCAGTGTCGCTGCTAGCAGCCAGCCATATCTAAAAGATGCCGGTCAGGACGAGTGAAAACGGTGAACACGTGCGGCGTCCAGCCGACAGGCGAAGGGTACAGCTGAGGAATGACGACAAGGCAATTCCATTCTCCTCGCTCTAGATCCTGTAGCCCCGTTTCCCGGTCTCCAGCACCCTGTGCACCTCAACCTCAAAGTGGCAGAACACGATATACATCTGGCGGAGTGCCGGGACTAAAGATCGGCATCGGGACTTGCGGTCAAGGTGTTCTGCAGAATCGGATGCCGAGCCGAGAGCCGCAGTGTCGGCGAACACATGGATGCTTCACGGACTGTACACGGCAAGGATCAAGACGTCGATCAGTGAATTGAATCTCTGGCGTGAGAGATCTTGTTGGTTTCACGTCTGTGCAGTGCGTGCAAAGCGCTATGGTTTGAGGGAGGGATATAGCGCTGTCGGGAGTGCTGAGACTCGGACTAAGCTTAAATCTAACTCTGTTCCGCGGAACAAGACAGAAGTCTAGACTAGAGCCCATAACTCCCCGCCTCGACTCCTTTCCTGTCATAATCCTGGACTCTCTGTGGGCCAAGTTGCCCAGTGCCGTCGGGGATGAGCATTACATGCTCAGTACATCTTGGACCCCTGAGCAGACACACAAGATCCAACGTGCTGTCCATGTTCCGTGAAGCCGGAGACCAGGAAGCGAATATCTCTCCTCCTGACCAATGGAATTCTTAGATTCTACTTATGCAGCTTACTCGGGTGCTGCCAAAAGAGTATCAGATCTCAATGTCCGTTGTTCAACTCCGTCATGTATGTCCAGTCCAATTGTGATAAACCCAACGGTCTTACACCGCCAGATTGACAGGGGCGCCTTGGCCATCGCCTTCAATCCTACATCAAGGCTCCATCATGCATGCAATAAGACGGCAAATGAATGCTGCATGGAAAAGTGCTCAGGATGTAATCCTTTAGCCCCCACTCAACTGACTGGGACTCACAGCATGCCAGTTCACGTTGAGAGATGCCCGGATAGCTCTATTTATCCGGATGGATTAGAAGTACTCTGTGCCAACGCTGCATGTCACATATTTCGGGCCATCTATAGAGAACATCATCACTCCATCCTGCAGTCTCGAGCCATGTCAACCAGCCTGGATCAAGCCTGCAAACCCGGCACTTTCTTTCCCTCCATCGGAGGCGCTGACATCCTCTCCTTGGAAGCGATCCCGGTCACGGGCTACAATGCCACCGTGACGGCTGGTTCCCGCTTCACAGCGCCCGACGTCGACCTCATCAACGCAGAGTTCTGCAACGTGACAGTCCAGTACGTCCACACCAACGAGAGCGACCACGTCATCAGCGTCGAAGCATGGCTACCCCCTCACCGTGATTGGAACCAGAGATTCCTGGCGGTAGGTGGCGGTGGCTGGAACGCTGGTCGATCCGACTTTGGACGTTTGGCCATGAGCGGAGCGATTGCCGACGGCTTTGCCACGATTGTCACGGATGCCGGGCTGGGAGAAGCCGCCGATCCAAGTGAATGGGCGCTCCTCCGCCCGGGCGAGGTCGACATGGTCGCCTTTCGAAATCAGGCATACCAGTCTCTCGAAGACGAGGTGGGAAACTTCACAACTCTCCTCACCCACAGGAAACCTGGCTCGTATGTCCATCAGGGGCTGACTTGTGCAGGCACTGTTTGGCAAAGCACTGGTGCAAGACTTCTATGGCACTGGCCCTTCTTTCTCCTACTTCAATGGCTGCTCCCAGGGCGGTCGACAAGGTCTCCTCCTCGCACAACGCTACCCTGATCTGTACGATGGCATCGCCGCGATCGCGCCGGCAATCCACTTTTCGGAGCTGCTACCGTACATGGCGTGGGGCCAGCAGCTGATGAATGAGATGAGGCAGTATCCGCACTCATGCGAGTTTGACGCCATCACAGCCGCGGCACTCTCTGCCTGCGGCGATCTCGACGGGGTCAGGGACGGCCTTCTCTCCAGGGTCGACGCGTGTCTCGCCACGTTTGATCCCCATTCCATGGTCAACACACATATACCCTGCGCACAACTCGAACAAGGTCAAGTGGACATCACCAAGGCGGCTGCTGGCTTGGTCGAGGAGGTTTGGCGGGGCATGCCGATCATGCGCGACAATCGGTCGAGCACATACCCTGGTGTCTCCCCCGGTGCCAACCTCACAGGATCCGATGCGGTTCCCGTGTTGCTCGGTACGGACTGCGCAAGCGGTACCTGCTTTGGCCGCCTGGGTCCTCTGGCGGAAGGGTACATCAAGTATTTCCTCGCCAAGGACCCCGAAGCCATCTTTGACACGAGCATGACCAGAGAGGAGTTTCTGGACACGATTGTATCACGCAGTCGCGAGCAATACGGGGCCCTTGTTGACGCAAGCGATCCCGATCTGACCCAATTTCACGCCAGTGGCGGTAAGATGGTCACATGGCACGGCCTGGTACGTTCAGTTCCATGCTGTATAGCACAAATCATATCACGCACAGCGCTGACAAGACTAGATGGATCCCCTTATCCCCCACCGCGCCACAGAGGACTACTACAACGCCGTCGCAGGGATCTCACCCGACGTGCAGGATTTCTACCGCTACTTTGAGGCCCCGGGTATCGAACACTGCACCGGTGGGCCGAGCCAGGTTCCCACGAAGCTCTTCAAGCAGCTCCAGGCTTGGGTTGAGGAGGGGGTCGCCCCTGACGCGAGTGACGTGCAGATCAAGGTTGGCTGTGCCACGCACAAGAGGATACTTTGTGCCTATCCCAAGGGGGCTGTGTATCAAGAGGATTGTGGAGATGTGAGTTCGGCGGCTTGCTGGACGTGTCAGTGAGCGTGGCCTGTCTCGGTGCTTGTGAGTAGTGGCCTGATATGTGAATCGTTCAGCCCCTGAAAATGGTTACATCATCTTCGTAAGCTAGATGATGTCTGTTAGCTGGCTTCAAACCGCAGGATAAGGAACCTTTTCTAGGAAATTAATATGTCATTCCCAGCGAAAGGGCGGACATCAAGCATTCTTTGTAGAGCGAGAGCGATTAATCCTCCCCGCCATCAGCGCCACTGCACTATCGACAAGTTCGCATCTGTAAAGCTCACTTTCGTTCTTGAGGGCTGCAAATGTCAAAGTCAGTGAGTCACAGTAGGATGATCATAAGGTGCGATCACTTCCATTCATGCCAGCCAGTGCCAGGGCAACCATTGAATTCGCTATGCGTGATGCGTCCCCTACTAAAGCCCATTCTTGCAGGTGCCAATGTCATCATGAGTCTCTCAAGCTATCTCTCCCAACGTCTCATTCCCCAGATATTGGCAGCCCATTCCTAGCCCCTGAAATGGACCTGCCAGTCATTGATGAGCCTCTCAGATGAACCACATTGTGGTCTTCATGAAGGTGCGGATGCCCTTCTCGTCCGGGGTGGCACCCTCAGGCACCTGGCCTCCAAGGGGCAGAAGGGGGGGCGCCTCGGCATTCTTGAGCGAGTCCCCTGTGCCACCAATGGTCTGGCCCTTGGCAATACGGTCCCGTGTGACCTCATGGCCCTTGCCATAGGCCCGGAATCCCTGGCTTGTGGCAACGTTCTCATGTGCTCGAGCCCGATCTGCCGCGAGGTGGGCATAGTAGACGGCTGGGTGCATAGAGACAGGAGTCGTGGAGCGAGCGTACGAGTAGCACTGGTGATAGATCATACGCTGGAGATCATTAGGGGGGCAATTCATCTCATCCTTGATCACATAGTAGTGAACAGGACGAGCCGTGCCTTGGATCGCCTTGTGAGAGTTCAGGTAGAAGTCCCATAGAGATGGATGGGTGACTTCACGCTCAACCAGGAGGCCAGGCTTCGAGTTGCCATTTTGATCACCGCCCTTGTTGCGCTGATCAGGTCCAGGGAAGAAGCGAATATGGTGGCGCTTGGTGGCCACGATGACCGTGAACTTTGGCAAAGGCTTCACGTTGCGTGAAACAAAGAAGTTTCGCATTGCTGCGACCTCCTGATCAAGAACGGCCGCAAACTGGTTCTCGGCCACACCGTCCCGGAAATACATGATATGATCCGGAACGCCGTTGCCATGAGACTGACGCCAGACACCACCCAGCGTGGCCATGAACTTGTCAATGTTCGGGGCCTTGATCATCTCCGTGCGGTAGCCGTTCGATTCAACGGCAGCCCCGTATCGGTTCGCGTCCGCGTCCATGTTCATGGTGAAAGCTGCAATTGAAGCAGTTTCGGACCCGGGTCCCGGATGGCTGATGTCGGCACCAATGATCATGGTTTTACGATTGGGGGGAAAATACGTAGGGCCTTTGCCAAACGGTGAAACTGTGCGAGACGTCGCACCGCCAAGCTTGGCGTTGACCTTCATCGCGACGTTGGAGACATATTGGTCGATCCCGCTCTCCTTCTTGAGATGATCAGCGACCATGCACTGCGACAAGAAGCCGAAACGGCAATCACTATTCTTCTTGATGCGCTCGTATGAAGGGTCGTTCTTGAAACCAACAATGATACACAATAGCTGCGTGTAGCCGCGAGCCTTGGTGATTTCGCCGTGAGCCCATTCAATCGACTTTGCCGTGTCGCGCGCGTTGCCCGGGATCTCCAGAATCATGGGTGGCGTAGGGGCGACCACGCCGTGCTTCTCCAAAATCTGCTTGAACTTTCGCCCAAAGGCATCGAGAGCCTGCTTGGGCACACAGTTGTTGAGGGCGATGAAGCCCCAATTCTTGAGAGGCACTGTGTTGGCCTTCCAGAATTTGATGTTGCCCTGGTCAAGGCGCCATCGACCACCGAATCGAGGCTCCTGCTTGCCGACCTTGAAGTCCACGGAAGGGGGGGCGAGGATGCGGGCCTGAACCTGAGAAAACTGCTGCTCAAATGTGGCACCGTAGTACTTCATCAGGCGGTCGTTGGGGAGGTCGAGCTCCTTGACGCCAAGTTCAATGTCAGCCTTGCGCTGCGGTGGCTTGGTAACCGCAATCTTGATCATGGACTCGGTCTGCTTCGGGGTGAGCTTCAAGTTGTAACGCTGCATCGGCTCGATGTAGCAAAGCTCCATAGGAAACTTGGCGTCTTTGGCAGTCTCCACGAGTGGCAAGTTGGAGTACTTTATTGTGTACCCATACCTGAGTCTGTAGTATTCGGCGATGCTAGTACTCTTTCCGTTGTAATCAAAGTTGACTGTTTTGGCTGTCGCGCCTTCGGGGCCTAGATTTCCCGACTTGTCAAAGCTAATGTCCATGAGGGTATAGACTTTGTCGTCCAAGCTAGCCGGGCGGTTGCGGCAGCGAACTTTGAACTTCAGCTTTCGAAGCTTGCGTAGCTGCTTCATGGCATCTGTCATCTCAATTCCTTGCGGGGTTTTCATTGGCTTCAAGGCTTGGGCCAGTGTTGTTGCTGGATTGAGACCCATGTATTTCTTCGGATCGTTTGCCGCCAGAAAGTAGCAAATCACCTGCTCGAGAGACTCTCCAGAAACCCAAAAGGCTGTGTTGGCAACATCACAGTTCAAGGCCAATCCCACACCGCCCTGGCCAAGGTTGTGGCTCAGGCGGATAGAAGCATAAAGTCCCTTGTGGACTTCTAGAAGCTTGCCATCCACAAGGGGGCGGGACTTTCTTCCAGTGTTGTAGAAATTCTTCTTGATGGACAGCAACTTCTCTGATGGGCCTTGACGCAAGAGATGGTCCACGAAGCTGAGAGCCTCAATAACCTTGGAACTGAAAGAGGTCTTCTTCTCCAGATAGGCTTGAAGAACCGACAGGTTGATCTCTGTGGTGACACGCAAAGCAACGTTGAAGACGGCGCCAGAGCGAGGAGTCTCACCAGCAGGACGCTCGTCTTCATCAAGGTCGACCTTGGCACGGATCTCACCGCGGTCGACTTTCCCAGGCGCCCACGCAAGCTTTTTTCCATCGAACAGCCAAAGCTCCGGCGTGTACGGAGCCAGGATCTGTTGAACGCTGCGGTGCGCCATGATCTTCTTGAAGGGAGTCTTTCGATCTTCCGGAGTAATGATCACCTAAGTTCAATGAGGACTAACACCAAGTCATGGAAATTTGGAGCACTTACATCGTATTGGTAGATTTTCTTTGAGAAATCAAAGGTCTTCATGCGGTACTGGTTGGAACCGACCATGTCTTGAACACCTTCGGTGTTATACTTCTGTCCACGCTCGGTGAACTTATCCGCGTTTCCAGAGATATAGGCCTCAGGGCCAAGCTCGATACGGGTGTTGGTCTTTTTGTCGGCTTGGAGCCGTCCAGGGTCGCTGCCCAGAGCAGGGGGGTAACCAGCTGGTGACTTCCCAGCCGACGGAGCAGGAGAGCCCTGGCGAGAGCTGGTGCCAGACGGCGCTGGTGAGCGGCCACGTTCTGACATGGCGGTATGCTTGAGGCCGATCTGGACTCGGAGTTGCTGGTAAATATGGTCAGTCCCTGTGGAGATAAAGAGTAAAAGGCTGCCGTTCACGGGGAAGTGAATGGTAGGCAGAAGATGGTCAATAGCGAAAGACCATAACAGCGTGGGCTCTGTGGGCAGCCAGCCAGTGCAGAGCTCATGGGTAAGGAATCATGCACGTACAGTAAGGTAGTGATAGTGAGCCACTGGTTAAAAATGGTGATTTGAGTGACTGAGATCAAACGGGTGAGCCGTGTTCAGGTGTTTGAAGTGTTGTAGGAGGCAAGAGGAGTTGTAGTCGGTGGTGATGAAGAATAGGAAGACGAGTCAAGGGAAGAGGGGGAGGGCTTTATACCTACCAGTAGGCAGACTGTAATGCCTGAGGCTTGTAGTGATATGCCAACAGGGTTGTGTGAAGCCTTTCAAGATGAGGAAGGAAGGCGAGCGGTGTGTTGGCGGTCACAAGTGTGAACAGGAAGGAACTCACGCTGGTGCGGCGATGAGAGGACTGAATGCGATTCTGAGGTGGAAGATAGAGCAAAGAGAAAAGAAAACAGAGCCTTGCGTGAATAGGCAAACGTCGTCCGATGTTTGTTCAGGGGGGCAGACGTCAGCGTGAATGCTGCGTGATCAGCCGACTCCTCACCGCTGCTAGAGGGCTACAGTCTCCAGTCCCCAGAACGCTGTACTGTAAGATTCATTTTGCACAGGTATTTCTTCACTGCGAAAAAACTGGAGAGCGTAATTCCGCCATTGTGCTGGGCTTTGATAAGGTGCCTGCGCGTGCTCATCGTTAGGGTACTAGAGACGCGGCTAACCGTAAGATGCGATGCCAAACACATACACGATGGACTCATTTCACTAAAGTACCCAGAGAAGTTCATCTGCCATGCGGAAAGGCTCGCAATGGCTTTCAATAAGCGAGTGTCATGCAAGTCGAGGCAACGAGGTCAAGGGTTCCACAACTGTATTATGCCTCTCTACTAAATAACTGTCTGCAAATGGATTACATGCATCCCTCGCCGGAACGCCCTGTGCAGCTTGTCGAAGTTTGCCTGGGGACTTCCATTGATTTCGTCCCCGTAATGTCAACGCCAGCAATGCAGTGAACACAAAGAGTGCGTGAAGCGGAACCAACGACCCCCTATCCTACATCACACGTCCAAACTATCCTTAGTACGGGTAGCCACCGTACTGAGGCGGCTGAGGCTGCCCATACCCTGTTGGGGGTGCAGGCCAGCCAGGAGGCAGAGCGCCAGGGGGCAGAGCACCTGCGTTGGGCGGGGGAGGGTAGGTCGCGCCAGCAGCCAGAGGCGAGTTCCTATAACCGCCAGAAGCAGACTGGACGCGGCCAAAAGGACTAAGTGGGCGGCTTGCGTATTCACCAGAAGTCTGACGACCATGGCCAGGCGTCTGCTGGCGTGCTTGAGGACCCATCTTAGAGATCCACTCGGATACGGGGGGCAGTGGTGTCTCTCTGAGTATGCTCGTCAATCCCGCCGCGTTCAAAGGCGCGCCATCATAGGTGTGAGCCGGCGGCAGGATGGACAGGATGAATGTAATGTCCCTGTGCAGAGCCGAAGCCTGATTGCGACGCTGCTGGTCCAGACGACGCCCTGCGGCTCCCTTGAGCGGCGACACGCCCCTAGCGAGTCGCTTGGGTGGATTGAGCTCCTCGTCATCGGGCCCAAGCGGCCTTTTGGGCGAGGGCGCAACTTGGACGTAGTGTGGCCTCGGGCTTTCGTACGCCGCCGGCTGCGGGCTGGATCGCATAGACCCGGGTTGCTCAATCGTCGGCAACAGCTGTTTGGGTCGCATCTGGGCAGATTTGGAGATGATCACAGGGGCCGCCACGGGATCAAACTTGTCGGAAGAGTAGCGGGCCGTAAAGTAGCTCAACCGGGGATCGTCGGGGAAAAGCTCCGCAATGCGATCCTCCAACTTGGAGATCTGCGAGAGCTCGCCAAACTGCGATTCATACTTGTGAAAGTAGGCGTACAGCGGCTTCGCCTTGTGGAGGGTCTCGGGTTTGCTAACCAGGCGGTTGACGCATGTTTCGAAAACGACGCGAGCATCTGTGGTTGTTTGTTAGCAACACCCACAAGATCAACTCGGCAGACTTACTCGTAGTATCGTCCTTGCTGTGGAGGAACTTCAGGTACTCTATCATGAAGACCTCGTCATTCGGGAAGAGACGAGCACCGCGCTCAAAGATCTTAGCGCCCACCGGGTCCTTGTATACGACGGACTCCAGCAGTGCTACCGCAACATATACATCGCTTGTGAGCCGACCCTTGTGACGAGCATCGGTGAACACTTTGCGAAGGCCCCCTTCTGTCTGGTTGCCCTTGCCTTGGATCCGACGCATGGCACGTGCCATGGCGATCCACACATAGGAGATGGTGCGCGACAGCAGCTGTGTCTCGGCAGCATAGCCTTTCTGGATGGCCTCAATGCGGAGCTCCGTAGGCGACTTGCGAGGCAGGCCACCCTCTTCCTCGTCGTCGTATTGGTTTTCAGCAGCATCCTCCGACTTTTCCTGGGCTGCTTGCTGCTTGAGCGTAGATACCTCGAGCTTCTCACGTTCCTTGACCTTGTCACCCAACGCGTACAGCGTCCCGAGGACGTCGTCAAGCGGTCTCCGCACAGTTTTGGCAAACTCGACAGTGTCGCCCTCCTTGACGGGATAATTGGCCTCAATGTGGTCGGCATGCTTGAACGCCAGGAGCACACTCTCTGGGTTGGCGGCGATGCCCTGCACAAGCATTTCGGTGGCTGTCTCCTTGTCGTCTTCGCGCACATCATTCTTGAGACACCAGTCGGCTGCATCCAGCCAGATCTCAGGGCAGAAGCGAAGAGCCATCAGGGCCTGTCTGTAACAGTACATGACGCGCTGCTTGAACACCTTGGGCTCGTCGGTGGCAAGCACCAAATGGTCGTCCTTCTCCCAAGCGATCCATTTCTTCCAAATCTCGACTTGTTCCTTGTATTCGACATCACCATCAAAGCCAGGCGCAGGCGGGAGGCGAGGCAATTTGGTTCGTCGGAGGTTGCGCGTGATATTGTCGAGGGCGATGTTGGCGCTCTTGGCCGACATGTAGCCAGGTGAGCGCTCTTGAATGAATTTGCGACCTGTCATCTTGTTGAGACTCATTTCGAACTGATCGTATTCTCTCCACAGCTCGTTCACTTTTGACGTGGGCACGTTGATGGCGCGGTGATAGGCCTTGCGAAGCTGGTCCATCTTTTGCTGATCCTGCCACCCCGTGCCGCCAACCTGACCGGGGCCAGTCTTGAGAAATTGGATATAGTCCGACCAAATGACCCCAGAGTCCTTGTCGACACCAACGCGCTCAATGGTGAACTCGTAAGACTGTGTGATCGTGCGACGGGCCTGGCCTGATGCGTCGTTGCTCAAATCATTGATGCGGCGGATGTAGTCCAGGTAGACAGTCCATAACTTGACGCTGGGGACGAGCCCGAGGCAGCGTTCAAACAGGTGCTCGACAGCGCGGAAATTATCCATGCGAAGTTCCAGTTCGATCCATTCAACCCAGACATCAGCCTAAGGCGGGTCAGTACGAGACGTTGTACATAAGCAAAAGAGGTTCCTTACAGCCTGTGGAAAGACGTTCACGCAGCGGTCATATGCGGCACGCAGAGCTTCATAGTTCTCGCGTCGCGTGTACTCTGCCATGAGCTCTAGCCAGGCGTCCGTGTCGCCTCGGGGATCCTCATTGACACGCGCCTCGAGCAGTTGCACAGGATCTATGCCGGGGATATGCGGCGGCGGTGGCGGCGCTTGTGCTGCTACTGCGTCAGTTGTACTTGGGACGGCCGAAGCACTTCGCGCTGCTTCAGCTGGCTCTCCAGCTTTTTCCTCCGTCGCGGGAGGGATGGGGGCTTGCTGTTGCTGCTCCTGCGCCTGGCCCTGCTCCTGTTCCTGCGCCTGGTCGTCCTTCTTCTCCTCCGCTTCGTCTTCTTCCTCGTCCTCGTCGTCTGATGCCTCCACTATGAAACCGCCGGTCATCTTGGGCTTGCTGGGTGCAGGAGCTGGTTCAGGCACTGCAAAGGCAGCTTGTTCTGGAACTTGATTGGAAGGGTCAAAGGACACAGATTCTGGATCATAGTCTCCTCCGTCATCTGAGCCATCGTCGTCTGCATCACCAGGGGCATGTGGATCTTGCGCAGTATCTTCAATATTCTGCTCGCTATGCTGAGTAGGATCGCCATTTGCGCCCTCGAAACCCTCTTCACCCCATGAAGCATCTTCCGAAGCCATTCTCGCGATACTCAAATGTATGCTGCGATACAAGCGGCTGCGCCAGAGCGCGATGCCTTGCGAGCTCTGAGTTGGCGTCGCAAAATTCGCACGTCGCGGTCGGTGATCACTACGAGGGTATGTCGCGGAGCTGAGGCGCTCGTGCCGGTACTTCGAGATGGCTCAAAAGGCGAGCGGCTTCAATTCGAGGTTTGTGATGAGCAGGGTGAAAAATGACGTGGCAAAAGGTAGATTGGAGTCTTGGAGCTTGGAACATTGGTTCATTGTCGGCCTCTGGCTCGCGGACCTAGGAGGCTGGGCTAAATGGCAGAATTGCAAGATGGGATTAGCGCCATCCTGAGCGGTGTGGATCTTTGCTATGGGTGTGCACGGACCCGGGACGCTCAAGGCTCCCCTGCAACTTGTCGCGTCAAGCAGGTGCAACTACTCAACGCGCTCTAGGTCCCTTCAGGCGCGTCCCACCATCAGCTCAGTTCAAGCTCATGTTCCGGCCAGCTTTCGATTTTGCGGCAAGCTTATGTTGATAAGTTCCGTCTCTCAGGTCCCCAATTTCTTCTTCAACCCTGCATCATATTCTCAAGCCAACATTTGTTTGCCCGTCGTTGTGCGCAAAACAAACCGTGCGAGTCAACCAACCGAACACTCGAAGCCTGCCCCTCTTCATCCATTGTTGAGGCCGACCTTCTGGTTCCACGCCAACAGCCTTCTCTGCGACGTAGGCCTGCAACGACTTCAATCACGCTTTTAGCGAACCTCTCCTCTTCATCCCACGATTCCCCTCACATCGCCAACATGTCCGTCGTCGGTCTTTTGGGTGTCAACATCCTGAACAACCCCGCCAAGTTCACGGACAAGTACGAATTCGAGATCACGTTTGAGTGCCACGAGCAGCTCGAGAAAGGTAAGGCAGCCTGCAACCCGCTGTGAGGCCTTGTTTTGACTGTTGTAGATCTCGAATGGAAGTTGACCTACGTCGGGTCTGCTACTTCGTAAGTTGAGCTACGCACAATCTACACCGCTCTTCTCTAACTGTCGTGCAGTGACCAGTACGACCAAGAACTCGACTCTCTTCTCGTCGGTCCCATCCCTGTCGGCGTCAACAAGTTCATTTTTGAGGCCGACGCGCCCAACACGTCTCGTATCCCCGAGACTGACATTTTGGGCGTTACTGTGGTCCTTTTGACCTGTGCCTACGATGGTCGTGAATTCATCCGTGTCGGCTACTATGTCAACAACGAGTACGACTCCCAGGAGCTGATCGATGAGCCCCCTGCCAAGCCTCTCGTCGATCGCGTCAGGCGCAACGTTCTGGCCGAGAAACCTCGTGTAACCCGCTTCGCCATCAAGTGGTGAGTACCGCACCTTGTGCTTGCGAAATGAAGACTAACAGGCAATCAAGGGACTCCGAGGCATCTGCGCCCGCCGAATTCCCTCCTGAGCAGCCCGAGGCCGATCTCGTCGCCGACGGTGATCAGTACGGCGCTGAGGAAGCCGAGGAGGAGGCTGCTGAGGAGGCCGCTGAGGCCGACATGGACAAGGAGAAGGCCCAGCCTAGTGAGGACTCTGAGATGGGAGGCGTCGAGACGGAGCAGAACGCCAACGAGGACTCCTCCGATGAGGGCAGTGTGGACCTGGAAGACGAGAGTGAGGATGACATTGAGGAGGAAGACGAAGCCGATGGCGCTGCTGGCGCTGCTGGCCATGCTGGTGACGACGCCATGGAGGTCGACGCCACCGACAGCAAGCCTGCTGACAGCACCGCAGGCCCCAAGCCTGTCAGCGTGGCTTCCTAGTTGCCTACTCATGCAAATACCGAAGACGAATTCGTTGAAGCCGGTCCACTGTTAGTGGCCGTAGATCAGTTTATGTTGTACGGTGTTGGGTCATAGATTATGAGGGTTACGACGCGATGACGGATGACAGGGAGGGCCTATGGGAAGCTATCACATGGTTGGCCCCTTAGGATTTGAGAAAGGAATATTCAAAGCCTCGTCATGTTGTGTATCATCCGCTGCTAGCCGTTCATTTCCTCGATTGCGCGCAAGTGTGACAGCGCTTGGTCAGTACGCCCTGCTCTCGAGGCCTGCCAAAGGAGGGATGGGTATTGGCTCACATTCATTCTTGGAGTTCTGGATTCACGGCCTCTTCTACAACAGTCATGGGAGCCCAGGTGGGGTTTCCCGCATGCGAACCACAATGGGCGGCCACGACACCATTTCCCAATCCGACCGCGAGTCTGCGACGCCCAGCTTTGGTCTGTAGAGCGTGCTCAGCCGCAGCCGCAGAGCTGATCCCAACTCCATCGGTGGTCGCCGACGCTGCCTGGCAAGTAGAGTGAGGCGGCTTACGATGGTTGAAAAGGCAGAACATGGGCTGCCTCTGCGCTCCGTGATTCTTCATTTTGTTGCTCATGTCCAGTCTTTGATACTACCTTTACCAGTGCGCGGACAATGAGCTATGGCAGCCCAGCAGGTCAACAACCTCGACAATCTTGTGAGGGCGGTTGAACGGCAGCACGAGCAGTACATCCAAGGTCTCCGTGCCCTTCACGACAACGTGGGCAGTCGCAGGCGAGAGCGCTCAGACACGCAGCACACCGTCAGCGAGGCCTTTTTGTCTCCTGCCAGAGCGCCGACTGGTCCCGTTTTCAGCGATGCTTCGAGCCACCAGGCCATCACGAGGCCAGCAGCGCGGCGGTCGACGCTAGATGCGTCTGAGCGACCTTTGCTAGGACACTTATCCTCCCCGTCGCCTAAGCTCTTCCCAAGTACGTCCCGACTGAGCGATGGGACTTTTCCAGGCCATGACGAGGACCTCAACTTCATCCGTCTCCTGGACAGCACGCCCAACCTTCAGCCCAACAAGCCTACTTCTATCCCGCCTCCCGATGAGACACCCAGAACCACCAAAGCCCTAGCGCCCCTCGCCTTTGCGGATGACATGCTATTGAAACACCTACGCGACTCTGAGTTCTGGGGCGAGACACAACGTTTGCTGGAGGACGTGCTGAAGCGGAGGGAAGAAATTGACACTGCCCAGCCCTTTAGGGACTTCGCGGCGTTTGAGCGAGAAGGCTATCTCAGTGCCACGTTTGAGGTCTACGATGTCGATACCGACGCCAAGGCGACGAAGATAAGCACGGATGTAGATGTTCAGGGCGTCGTCAAGTACGCTGGTGACGGGCCATTCGACATGCAGGATGAGATTGTCGATGCGCCCATGGTGTGGGAATGCATCAAAGACGTGAACCACAAGGGAGACTGTGTAGGCAGGATCACGTATGTTCTCGTTCCCTCCATTCATGAAAGTGTGGCACTCACTGACTGGTAAGAATCGTCCAGGAACCCACGCCGCTGATCATGGCTGCTCTTCACCTCACCATGTCACCTCACTTTGATATGTCCGAGCTCATCCATCACTTTCTCTCTGATGTTCCTCACAGAGGCCGGACGCATGCTTGTCTCCATCGCGCCTTTGAGAAGGATCCTTATCCTCTGACGGCCCCTGTGCCTCAGCCAGCCATCACCACGGCCCGTCTGCGTCAGCGTTCTTTTTTCTTCGCGTTCAAGTACTACACTGTTGTCGGTGACGGTCTTGAGCCAGCACCTTGGCAGCGGTTCGACAAGCGCCCGTCGGACAAACGCACCGGCGATCATGTTGATATTGCCGAGTGCGGTTCCATCCTTGCCCTGTCCCTAGAGGGCGAGCCAACGAAGCCTCTGCGTATCCGCCCTAGAAGGGAGCGTACCAAGGAGGGTTTTCTGTTTGACACGTTCGGGGCATGGCATCTTCTGAGTATTCAAAGCTTTCCCGATGACGAGCACACCGTCCGTGGCGAAGAATTCCAGGAGAAAAGCTTCTACAATGGTCCTTATGCGTTCCTGGACCTGCTGGTCGCAGAATTCCGTGATGCCGGAAAGAGGAACCAGATCCTTCATGAGAGAATCACCAAGCTCATCACGCCTCCTGTACGTGCCGCTTGTTCAGGAGGTTGTTGTGTGCTAACAGTCGCAGACCGATTTCATGTTCGACCGCCGCTTGCGAGATAAACTTCTCTTTGAAGACAAGCACTTTACCTACATTCGACGATACTTTTGGGCCTACAATACTCTCGCAGTCATCAATGCTGGGCTGAAAGCAATGATCGCATCCTACTTTGATTCCTTTACTGATGAATTTTGGGCCGGAACCCATCCTTTGCTGTGGCCCATTCCCTCGTCGTTGACGCCAGAGGCCGCCGATGCCTATCGAGACAAGATGGGCTTGCTGAGAAAGGAACTCGAGAAAGTCGTCAGTGATCTTGGCGAAGTGCTCAACCGGAACGAGCGCACACGCAAGGAAATCGAGAACTTAAGAGACCAGCTGTTCAGCGGTAGCTCCATCAAGGAGAGCAGGCGAGCCATTGATCAGGGCGACAACATTCGGATCTTGACTATGATCAGCATGATCTTCCTCCCACTCACGTTCGTCACGGTAAGTCGACACAAAGTCTCCCTCTCGTATATTGTTGCATGTGCTGACTGCCGGCAGTCCGTCTTTGGGATGACTGACTTTGACATACCCGCCAATGACTGGCGTTTCGCGCTCGTAATGCTTCTCGTATGCGTTCCATTCACCATCCTCATCCTGCTTTTACAGACACGCACCTTCACTGTGGTCCTACGCAAGATCGCGACTCTGTCTAAGAAAGTCGCGGCCTTGCCGGTTTTGTTGTACGCCAGGATGAGGGAACCCAAGGAGGCTGTCCAGGACAACTGGTCCACGGCGCCGGTGGCGGTCAAGCCTACGATGGGCAGGAAGCGCAGGTTGATGGCGTTGGAGGTGGAAAGCAAGGAGAAGGGATTGTGGCCCTGGAACGGTTGGTTTGCTGGCAGAGAGGACGATGCAGTCAAACCATGAAGAGACTGTGTGTGATGCCTGGCGATTCGTGGCAGCGACATGTGCGCCATATCGCATGTGATCTAATTCGGTTCTCTCTGCAGTCCGTTCAATGGAGGGTTCATGTCTGCTTACCACCGTGCACCGGCATTTTCATAGGTCTACGGACCGTCTACCACCGTACGTGTAGTCGTGTACGTAGTATGGTACAATACACATGGTGGTTTGACGTGGTACGAAGTTGAGCCCTTTCAACGAGGGCCAGTCCTCCCATCACGCGGCCCGACATGGCGCGACATTGGCGTACCTGCATGGTAACTGGTGCTGTGGTGCGACTGACTTTTCCGGAATGGGGTGCTGGAAGCATGCCATGATATCGCTGCCAGACACCTCGCCATGTGCTACGATGATTGGGTGCAGGACGCCACGCCTGTGACAGCCTCCATGTCCTTCAAGCTTTGACGCCCCTGATAAGCTCCACGGCCGAGATTGGAGTTAGATTAGAGGATATTCATGATCCCGTGATGCAAGACGCCATCCATCAGGTGAATACCCCCAGAAGGAGGAGACAAAGCCGCGCAAGCATTGCCTCGTGATCCCGGGCATCTGTCTGCGTCATCTACATGGTATCAAACATCATTGTCGAAGGACCAAGACCCCAACCAGTCCTGTGACCAGTCCAGTGACCAGTCCAGTGAACCCAGGGTAGCCTGGATCGCGCAGCCAAGCGCTAAGCGAACCCCTCTTATCGCCTGTGTCATAGCGGCATTCGCGCCCTCCTGCCGCCCCGCAACGTCACCGATTTACCCAAATCGACCACCGAAATCTTGGAATCCGGTCGCCCTTGACTTTCCCTACAGCCAAACTCTGAGCCTCTTACCATCCTCTAAGCCTTGATCAGCTTGACTGTTCCGGTCTTTCTATCTCTGTGCTCCTACAAAGTACATCATATCCAACCTCCCCGCCGGATCTCGCGAGCGTACGCATCGATCATGGCGTCGTCAGCAGCAACTTCCGAAGCAGCGCCGCCGACAGTCGAGACGTCTACTGTCACCGATGAACAGCAGAGCGATGGCTCCAAGTTGAGAACGTTTTTGGGTATCTTAAAAAGGTGAGTGCATGATGCACAGGGCCTTCCTCGGGATGGAAAAGATCACAACGCGCGTTGCGCATGACTTGCGGTCTGCAATGGAAATCGCGATATCGGAGGGCGCATACCCTGCAGGCTCTGTACAAGGCTAACATGCTTCTTCGCATCGCAGATTCATCGGCGTCTCTGACCTCGCTGCCGTTCGATTCTCTCTGCCTTCGCAGCTGCTCGAGCCGACGCCGAATCTCGAGTACTGGAATTACATCGACGCTCCCAACGCCTTCGCTGGCATCGGCACCTCGGACGAGCCGCTTGACCGCATGCTCGAAGTCGTCCGCTTCTGGCTCACAAAGGATCTCAAGTACATAAAGGGCAAGCCTTGCAAGCCATACAACTCGGTACTTGGCGAGTTCTTCCGTGTAAGCAGGCCCGGGCTCAAGGCAATGCGGCACCGCTGACAAAGTACAGTGCAACTGGGAAACCGAAGACAATGCGCCCAGGATCAACACCGCCGCATTTGGCGAGGCCAGTGCAAAAGGTGGACTCTCCGCCCTCAAGTCATCCTCAAAGAGTGACAAGAATGCCTCTGCCGCTTCCCTCACTGTGCCTCAGCACGGCGCGGCCACGCCAGACACGAAGCCCCTGCGCATCTCCTACCTTACGGAGCAGACGTCGCACCACCCGCCCGTGAGCGCTTTTCACGTCAGCTGCCCCGAAAAGGGCATCAGTGCCCGTGGCTTTGACCAGATCACGGCCAAATTCACTGGTACCTCCGTTAGGGTGCTCCCTGGCGAGCACAACATGGGCATCTTCATCACACTCGAGAAGCGCGGTGGCGAGGAATACCAGCTCACCCACCCGCCGGCGCACCTGGGTGGTCTGCTGCGCGGCAGTCTGAGTGTGTCTGTCAGCGAGATGGCGTACATCAAGTGCCCACAGACAAAGATCAAGTGCATCCTGCACTACTACGACGAGGGCTGGACCCGCTCCGTGAACAAAATCGATGGTGTCATCTTCAAGTACGACCCAGAGAATGACGACAAGCATAGGGTGCAGGATGTTCCGGACGAGGATGTTTTGGCTCGTCTGAACGGTCCCTGGAGGGAACGCGTTCACTTCTCTCTCGGGCCCAAGCCATTCGTAAGTGAAACTCCAGCTGCGTGTAAAGCCAAGGCTAACGCGAGAAGAAAAATGTCGCCCCCGAGGACCAGCACACTATCATTGATGTTGCGCCTCTCAACGTCGCCCCCAAGATCCTTCCTCCCGATGAGCAGCAAGCTCCCAACGAGTCTCTCCACTTCTGGTCCGGTGTCACCAACGCTATCCACAACAAGCAATTCTCCCAGGCCACAAACATCAAGCTCGAGCTTGAGGAGGCCCAGCGCGAGAAGGCTCGCGAGCGTGAGCGCACGGGTGCCACCTTCCAGCCAGTTTTCTTTGACCATGCCACTGGCAACGGCGGCCGGCCCGATCTCACAGACAAGGGCCGCGAGGTGCTTGAGCGGGCACAAAGGGGCGAGTGGAGTCTCGAAGGTGTCATTTGAGCGGAGGATTATCTGAAGTGTTTGCTGCGAGCGAGAATAATCTGAGACGACTTTTGCATAGACTACGGAGGGGGGACGAGCTTTGCTGATTAGGTACACACATATAGGTATATCGCCTGGTTGGAATTCGCGACAGCGGCGTTGTGGGCGTTTCGAGGACTGGGTTTGCATACGGCACGGTGACTACTGTGAGAGCGCACACGCGCGAGCTACTGTTATGATGAGTGCGCTGGCTTTTGGTGAACGTGGATTGGTGATTGATGAATGGATTCAGACGTTATTTGTTACAGTATTTGATTTTACATATTATGGTATCGCCTTTCCCAGCCGTATAGTACAAGAGCGGAAATTATTCGTTACAGAGTCATCGTCATTCGCCCCCGTAGCTTTACGCATCGACAAAGTTCTTGATGTTGTTCAACCACCGGACGTACTCCTTCTGCTCCTTGACGTCGACATAGTCGGGCACAAAGACGGCCAGCGCCTGGGTGATGCCCCTCTCCTCGAGGTATCGCTCCATTAGCACCTGCAGGTCATCATCGAGGGTGCCAAAGGGAGGGCCGGGGTAGAGCTCGGCGCGCTTGTGTGTCGCCTCCGGGCCCTCGGCCTTGGCCACCGAGACATCGTCCCAGTAGTGCAGGTTCTCGACCTGGATGTTGCCGTTGGCGGCGGAGGCGTCAATGGTCAGGGCGCCACCCGCCTTGCCGGGCTTCTCGACCAGGATGGAGAGGCTGATGGGGGTCGGGGGCTCGTCGAACTCGTCCTCCTCGCCCTCAATATCCTCCTCTGCGGGAGCAGAGCGAGCGCCACCAGTAGACTGGACGTGCGACTGCTTGTTGGAGTTCTGCATGTTCGTCTCGTCATCAAAGGCCTCTTCGTCCTCGAGGGCGGGATCCTGGCCGTAGGGGTCGTAGCTAGTAATGTCGGCAATGGAGAAGCTGACGGTGATTCTGTAGGAGTCAGCATAGCTCGAAACAGCACTAGACATCACTAGACATCAAAGGACAAAAAATCTTACTTCTCATCGCCAAAGCTGCGGACGAGCTTGACAACTTCCTGTCCGGGAGAGTCAACCAGCTCAAAGGCCGTGTTGGCCAGAAAGTCCTTGACGCTGGCGGGATCCTGCTCATTTGCCTTCATCTCCTCCTCGACCTGGATCTCCGAGTCCAGCTTGGCAGAGAGCTCCTCGTCGGTCTCGCCCTTCTTCTGAGCCCAGCGGCCGATGGATGTGGAGAAGTTGGCGGCCACGGGGCGCGCCATGTAGGACGTAGTCTGCTTGTAGAGGAGCGCGCTGGGACGGGCGGCCATGGCGGAGGAGGCCGCCGTCATGCGGCCGATAGCCCGGGGCGCAGAGCGCGCGACAGTACGGAGAGAGAGCATGATGGCGAGTTGTGTGACTGAAGAAAAGCTTGGATGGGAAAAGGATGAAGAAGGGTGATGTTGAAATTTGCACAAGGGGATGACGGATGGAGCTCTGTCGACGCAGCTTTCTCGAAAATTTGGGGCGGTTGCAGAATGGGGCCAATCGCGACGAGGGGTCCCGGATGGGCAGACAACGCGGGACCACGTGACCTGAGTAAGCATCACGTTCACGTTTCTGATCAGCGATTCGAATAATGAAGTAATTGAATTAATGGCATATTGCGTTGGAAGTATCTGATCAAATAGATTCTGGAAAATCGCCCGCGGGTCCTGCTTTATTCTGGGGGGGGGGGGGGGGGGGGGGGAGGTTTAAAACGCAAAATTGGACCAAACATATAATATTGTGGCCAAGAGGATTACAACGTTAAACAGAGATGTAAATATACATCGCC